GACATTAGAGTTGAGAACATCTGGAATACTTGTAGAATAAAGTTTCAAGTCGACTCTCACTCCGACTGATCTATCTGCTTGAATCGAGCGTCTATGATAGCCATCCATAGACAAGAACGCACAACAGAGGATATAGAGAAAATTTACAGAGGAAAATAAGATGACAGAAAGAGATGCTTGATATATGTCTACCCTAGGGAGGACTTGCTATGTAATAGATGGGGGCCTGTGTTATTAGGGAAGGACTAGGGAGGATGGGGGCAGGGTGAATTGTGTGAAAATGAGAGGAAAATCTGTACCAAGGGGATAACAAAAAAATAATTATTTGGAAAGGAAAGTAACTGGAAAAGATGAAAAAAGATCAAATCTCGTCTTTTCCTACAGAAAATTTCATATTTTTTTGAGAATTTTATGACATTTTCTCACATGTAAACTCTGTTTGACTCCTGTAGATTTTATAGCATGTAGAATCACTATTTTATGACTTCAGCCCATTTTCAAGTTTATAAATGTTTAAAATCAAATCATTCTGCATGGATGCACAAAACGCTAGCCTGCACTGACCCATTTCATATCTAGACCTTAGAGTACTTCCACCTCACCCTGAGTTCATTGTGTCTATGGTCCTAAAGAGAGACAATAAAATATTATCTTTTCCACATCCACTTCTGACCAGCCAGTTTCCAACCTGTTCTGATTGTTTTTAGAGCAAACCCCCAAAATGTGGTGGAAATTTATGTGTTTTGTCTTTTGGCACAATTTGATGATTTATACTGTTTCTTCAATTTGTGCAAAATTATCTTTTGTCATTGTATATTTCATCATGTATAGTAACGTTAAGAAAACTATAGGACACATGACTCAGTCTTAATTTCCGTGTCCTTTTAATCATAGCTCAAACATCGCGAAAAATGAAATTACAGCCTAAACGGAGCCAGTCAATCGATATGCCTTACTGTGCTTAGACTGTGGCAGAAGTAATTTTCCACCAAAAACACACAGCACCAGCTTCTAAGTAGTCTGCAATCAAATTTGCCTCTTTAACCGAATCGCTCGCCTGAAATAAGGTCCACCTTTAGCTGCTATCATAGGATCAATACCACATTTAGGCCTCTACTTTCTACTGGGAAACTAAAAGGAATCAATATGTGTATCCTAAAAGGGCTACGCCTTTAAGAGCACTGGTGTGAACTTCAGAATTTGATCACATCTAATTTATTAGTTTAGAAAGCAAATATGTCTTGCACAAAAGCCACATACATGATTCTTAAGCTTGTTAATGCACTTATTTTTCTATCAGTTCGGTGCTGTAGCAGAATGCATGAATGATTGGAAGGACAACTTGAATACTAATTCTGATTCAATGCTATCAAGCTATATTTCTTGCAGAAAGGCTGTACAACTGAAAAGTAACAGTTTGTTACAATCAAGGTGAATACACCTACATTTGTATCTATAACAATACAAGAAGGCTTTGCAAGATTATATGACCTTGACATGCCAGGGGTTCTACGTGACCTTCAAAGTTCAAGAGAACCATAAGCATGCCACATTCCATGTTTTGTCTGTTCTATCTCAGGAATTCCAGAACTGTGGATCTGGCTTGACTACAGGAAACACATAAAGTGAGAAAAATGTCTGAAATCAGAGAAAGGAAATAGCAGGGGCAGAAGTTTCAGGTGACCACAAAAACAATACACGTGGAAACTAGGAAGAGACTGAGTGATGCTTGTTTTTCATTCCCCACTCACACATTCGATTTGCATTCTCCGAAGGACGCCATCCAGAAAATTATTTTTGCGCAGCCTTACATAACGATTGGGAAGCCAAGGGAAATGACTGTCTGTGTACATATTCCAGTTTAGCCAAAAGACAGCAAATAGATATAATCCACAACCCACACACTTCTACATATATGGAGAAATACCAAAACTGTGTCAAGCCTCCCCCTCAGCATTTTCTTGTCTGATTTTTTGTCAAACACAACAAAAGTCTTCCAGCACAAATCTTACTCCACGGATTAAAATACCAAAGAAAAGACGGCTTACGACCTGGAATTTCTCATTTCAACACTGCCATAATTCTTTGGGTAAATCAAAACTGCCTCCTAACCTCCTTAAAATTCCTTTGGATGAAGTTAATGATGATTTGTATGACATTTCTCCATAATAGTGACAAAGTCTTAAAGATATGCCTATAGTATTATAGGTATATTTCTTTTGTAGTTCTTCAAGAAAGCAGAAACTGGGTTGTCCCCTGTGATTTATGTCTTCACCTTGAGATTAAGACAGCTCAATCTTGGCTTGGTTTGTTTTTCTGTCGCACAGCAACATTTTTCCTTATCAAATTTCAGTGGGAATAAAGGTGGGTGGAACTACAAACCTTGTCACTTTATTTATGTGTATACATTCCTGTTGAGATACATGTGGACACCATTAGCACAAATGGCCAGTTCAAGTGCTATTGTTGACGGTAAACCTGCATGTCATGTCACTAGATTTTTAAGCGGCTCATGAGCCAAAATCTGTCACTTGACTATGGAACAAAAAAAACATAGAAAGGTCTGAAAGGAGTAAGTTATGACAACATACTCTTTTACTTTAGGGATGCCTGATAGCACCACCCTCAAAAAATGTCTTTTCTTTATTCATATTAATCATAAAAACTTGTTCACCAAGAGGCAATGTTTCAATGACCGTAAGAGCAATTTGGGCGGACAGTTTTCGAAATGTCAGCTCTTGTTAAACAAGTTGTTATGAACAAAGAATTTGCTACTCAATCATTCACCAACCTAGACAAAACTATTCATGGTTCTTTTAAAACTAGAGTAACTATACTTTCGTGTCCCTAAAGAATTCAAACCTAACTTTGAAATGTAAATTTATGTTTCTTTTGAAAAACAACTGATGAAAAACACTGATTCCCTTTAAAGCAGTCCTGTTATTCCAAGGATAAAGGCAGGCATAATTGACTGCTGAAGGTCAGAGGTCGGGAGTGCCTTATCAGAAGGGGAATGTCCCGACTTGCCACATCACAAACACCAAGAAATGTTTCAGGGGCAAAAAAACACACTGCCTGCCAGCTGGGCTGGCTTACCTGCAAGTGTCTGGGGGCCAAGAGGTCTAGGTTCGATTCCCGAAATTCCTGAACAGTACAGGTGTACCAAGGGGATTTCAACTCTTGCAAAGTCACAAACATACTCCAATGTTTCAGGGGCTTAGCAGCAAGTGCCGCTGGGCCAAGAGGTCTGGGTTCGATCCCGAAATTCCTGAACGGTACAGGTGTAGCTGGGGATTTCAACTCTTGCAAAGTCACAAACATACTCCAATGTTTCAGGGGCTTAGCAGCAAGTGCCACTGGGCCAAGAGGTCTGGGTTCGATTCCAAACCTGAACCCTGCAGGTGTGACTGACTATATCAGCTAAGACAAAACACGTGTCTAGGAAAGCGGGTCAGGAACGTGCATGCACGCTTCAAAGGCAAAAACGTGATAGCACCTGTCAGCTGAGGCGACTCAGGCACAAGTGTTTCAAGGCTAAGTAAGAGGCCTGAGTACAACTTCCATCCAGCACCTGTACTCAACCCTTCAACACAATCAGGGAAATCACCTTGAGCAATTCCAACATGGCAGTTCAAGTGAATGTGTCCTTGGACTTGGAGAGCAATAACATGGTAGATTTGTAGTTTAGTGCAATCAAAACTTGACAGCATTGAGATGGCCCAAACCTCCATCAAGGTAGCATATGATCATGTTAAAATTAGCAAAATAACTTTTATGAATTCCTACATCTAAGATGCATCAATATCTTAAGTTGTCATACTTGTATATTCAATAGCTACATGAGTTTCTTTTAAGAAAAATACTATTAAAATTAAAATACTGGTAATACCAGGGATATCCAAACAGCACTCCAGTAAAATTGGGAGATATTCATTCTAAAGCCAGTGTCAGGACTAGTAGTTCAAACATGTACATGTATAAGCTTTCTCTGGCACCCTGCTGTCCATTGTCTAAAATGCTCCTCTCACAGTAAGTGTACACCATGCTCCTTTCACACCCAGTTGACCAAACATGCATTAGCGACTGGCTAAAAGCCAGGAAACGTGCAGTTTGCTGGGGAACCAAACCCAAGGCTTGAGTTGATTGTTATTGACGTTCTGCCAAGAGATGTTGTACAGGCCTCCTTGGACATGCCTAACAATGGAACTTCACTTACAGGCTGTTGCTATCTGGGGCAAATATAATCTTAGACTTTCCAATATGGAATAAGTCTGCATTGCACAAATGAAACACTGAACCAATTTGAAAGCAGTGTTTTGAAACGTTCTTTAACCATGTACATTGGATTGTGCACTTTTTACAGAAAAAGTTTTTGATGTATCTTAAAGTTTCTAATTTCTTTCTAGAGTATATGTAGGCCCAAGTTTGATTACAAGTGTAAGAGGTGCCTGGTACACCTGTTAGACTTGTACAGGCAGGTATTGTTGGAGAGCATCACAAATGTCAAGCCACCAGGTCAAGCTTACATGTACCATAACAGTTGGGGAACAACAGAAAAGAGTAGGTGGAGATTGATGCATTCCAGCTTTAACCTGTTTGAGTGACATCTACATGAAATGGATATTTTTTTTTTTTTTGCACAGGAGGGAGGGGGTCTTTTCCCACCCACAAGTGTGGGTACTAGGAGGATTGATAAATTCTGTGTGGGTTTGAGACCAACCAGTGTCCCAAAACAAAGTCTGGGTGGGATCTGTAACACCAGTCAAGGGCGAGCTTGCAAGCTAAGCCAATTTTCACAGGTTACTGTTTAAACTGGCATCTCGCCAAAGTGCAGTCTTGAGGCAGGTAATCCTAAACATGGTGCCATTTTGAACAGTCAGCAGCAAAAGTTTGTAGGGATTTATCACTTTTCCGTGACTTCTTGGAAAGTGATAAAAATCACTGGGAAAAGCATGGATGAAATTTTTTTAATAAAGAAACGTTGGTTAGGATTGACTCACCCATATGGAAGTCGTCTTTCCAAGCATCCCCTTCTCCTGTCTTCTTCTCTGTCCCAGCCAAGTTTGGTACGCCATTCTCGTACGTCAGTGTCTTAGAAAACAGTTGCCCTGGAAATGGCAGGAGAAAACTGAGGTTAACAACTGGCAGACTGACATAGTAGGTTAGAAGATATCCATGGTTTGAAAATGTCATGATGATTCTTTAATTTAGAGGTAACAACTCCAATGTCCAACTTATTACTATTAGTGAGCTCCACAGAAACCTGAAGCTCACAGCATCCAAAACCACCAAATGATGCATTTAACAACTAAAGAAATGAATTAATTAATCTAAGTCAGTTAAAAAATATTAAGTCAAGCCAATACTTTGATCAAGATACGATAATGCTTATTAAAAAGCTTATAGCATTGCTGTAAAAAGTATAATTCATTTCTGAATCAAGCTGGATTCCAGTAGTTTCTGGCAATGGCCCTCTGGAATTCCCTCATCTCATTTCTGTCTCCAAAATTACAGGTAGCTCCATCAACAAGTTTAATGACACCAAGAATTTGATTGGTTCCCTACAACCTGTTCTCTGCTTTCATGAGACCATGAATATGATTGGTCCTCAACAACCTGTTCTATGGTTGCCCCGGGCTACAGGGGTCAATCACCTGGGGTCGCAAAGGTCGTGACAGCCAGTCTACCACATATATGTAATGGGTTCTGACTTATGTTAAATTACTGTCAATAAAATAAACTTTCTCTTTTCTCTAAATAAAATATTTGGTTCAACATATCCTCTGTTTCCAGTTTTATCATAATACCTATAGCTATCTCTATTCGTAACATGTATCTGTCAATAAAATTACAGTGCATCACAATTCTTATGATCATATCTATAATTTATTCCATTACTAGGATGTAAAATGGAATATAAATTGGTATTTGTTGCTTTATTTTGCTATCTTTCTTTTTAATATGCAAAAACACATTCATATCTAATGTGAGATAAAACTACATACCCACAAGGGGGTAAGTATACTTAGAAATGCATGATCTGTTACAATATGATGTTGTGCATATGGTCAAAAACCGGTGCATTAGCTCAATTGGTAGAGTACTCACTTTGTAACCGGGAGGTTGTGAGTTCAAACCCCGTCTGGGTCATACCAAAGACTTTAAAAATGGTACACACTACGTTCTCTGCTTAGCACTCAGCACACATGAGAAAGAGTGTGGGAAGGTGAAACACACAGCACTACCAGCGGACCAGCCCCCTGCTGTAGTGCCCTGCACAACTGTGTGTCACCCAAGGGCTACGGAAATGGACATGGGCACCACCCCTATGCTCTGCATAGAGTGGAACGGGACCTTTCATATGGTCAATCACTATATGGATATACAGACTGTTTTTTTTTTTTTCTAAACAAGAGGTGCTATTTTACTTTACAATATCACTTCTGTATCGGCTCTCTACCACACAAGCTAACCACGCCAATCCTAAGTGGCTGACCAAGCAACTCACTGATGAAATAATTGCTTGGAATCCCTGGACAAAACTTAAAAGCTAGCAACAACCTTTCATTTCAAATCTTCCATCACTGCACCAAAGAGGTAAAGAAGTGTGTCCAAGCACAGAATAATGACATAGACCTGTCTCCTTATGTCTGGGAGTGAGGTCACTCCAGAAACATGTTTGAAGACATAATTTCCTGCCTTGAAATTGATTTCAGTGTTGATTTCACAGGTGACCAACCAAGAAGACATTATCGATGTTTAAGTCCCCTCACGGCGCCTTCCAGGCATTCCAGTGTGGAATTACAGATCGCTGGAATTCCGGTGAGAATCTTTTTTTTTTTATCTGACCAAGAAGCACATTTTTTATCTTTAGGCCACACCAATTTAATTTCTTGGTTAATGGATTCGCCGCTTCATTTTTTTCTGATTTGCAAATAAAAATAAAAATTTAGAATCAACTGCAAAATGCTCATATTTTGCCCTGAACAGTTGAAAACAGACCTTTTCATCCTAGTTGTTACAGTTATTACATCTTTCAATGTAATGGTATCATTAGAAGTTCAAAATTCATTGTTTAAATTTTGAACCAGCCTGGTGTGTTGACTTCATGGCTCCTATCGTACCATTTTGGGCCATAAAACGATGCCTAGGTCTGTTTTTATTTTTTTTTTTTTTCGCCCGCCCGCTCCATTATTTTTCTAGAAAAAATCCGTTAACCAAGAAATTAAATTGGTTTGGCCTTAGGAGGATTTATCTGAGGTGCAATCAGAGGATGCATAGACTGTAAGGATATTCAGCCCTTCACTAAGTTGTAACAACGCAAAAATAGGTAGATATATAAAGGAATGCTTTGTCATTATAAAAAATTCCGAAACTTGTGATTAGCCCACTCGATTGTTACACTTTATCAAAGACTTGTGCTATCCCTTATTATTTGAATAATTATGATGTAGATTTGTTAGGTTTTATTTGACATTAGGTCTTCTTCAACACATTTTATTGTGTATTTTATGTTACTCTCTTTAGTAGTTTGCCATACATTGTACCATGTGCAATTGTCGTGCAATAAAGTTCTTCTGTAATTCTGGTAAGCCAACAGATTAACATCACTTTGACTCAGGATTATCCTTCAGACTCTGTTTCTAATCCATCTTAAGTGGAATTGAAGCTGAAAGGAGTTTTGTGGTGCAAAAACTGATCACTGTTCAGCACTGGTCAGCACCTTATTTTTCTTGGCAAATACACGATTTTATCAATTTTATCCCCATTTAGTATTAGGCAAACAAAATTACAACTGTTGCATTAGTAATACAACCTAGTGAAATGGCACATCCTTTCTTTCATTACCATGTGGCTTTCCCTAATGAACTAACAGATGTTCTATTCATCTAAGCACCATGTTCTCCTTTTCTCCAACAAGCCTCATGATTCTATTGGAAATTCCCTGCAATTTCCTATCATTTCCAATAGCCTGGTTAATTAACTTCCAAGATTATTGGGTCATCATCAACGGGTTTCCAGCGGCCCCGCAATGAAGGAGGATCAATTCCCAGATAACGCAAACGTGGTTCTGGCTAAAGAGAGGTTCTGGAGCGGTAATGCCGATCGTTATGTCGAAACAAATGGAAATTTACGGGTAATGCCCTGCTTAGACATGCTGGAGTCAGGGGGAATGGCTGAGCTGGGTACTAGTGATAGGACTGAGTGAGTGGATAGGGACCAAGAAATACATGGTACATGCAGGAAGGAAGTCCAGCTGGTTTGGACTAGCCTCTACCAGGCTTGAGGAGGCAGCTAGAAAGAGTAGAAATCGGCCAAAATAGAGAGATAAGCATGCCAAGGGAGTTTGTCCGTTCACGGCGAACTGTTCTCTCTCAACGGACAAACTCCCTTGGCATGCTTATCTCTCTATTTTGGCCGATTTCTACTCTTTCCAGCCACCTCCTCAAGCCTGGTAGAGGCTAGGTTTGGACAGCCAAACTTTTCAGCAATGTCTAAGAACCAAAGATACTAAGTGGTGCGGCCTTGTGAGAATGCTAAAAGGCACATGTAATACATTATTTTACTTTCCAACATAACAAAAACAGTTTATTGAAAAGAGATACGAATCTTGAAATGCCCTCCTTTTGTCCTGGATTGCCAAGAAGGAATTCCAGTATAGATAATTTGGGAGATAGAGCCATCACGTGAGACAAGATCATGGTTATACAACATGAACACAATGGGTCTTTACAATTACAACTATGTGGTGAATGTCACCAACAATACTACATTGCGTGACATGAAAATATAAGAAGAAGATCACTGTGACAGTTCTCATTTTGAAACACAAGCTTGAGTGGGTATGCAAGGAAAGCTCCTTGGGATATGTTTGGGTATCAAATTCGATAGAGAAAAATTCCGCCACCTTTTCTCAATTTCTGTCAGTCCATTATCCCAACAGAAAAGACCACCAGTCAAAAAATGTACAATTTTACCCCGACATCTGCTTGATTTACTACCTTTTATAAGTTTGTATGCGTGTCGACCCCACCCACTGCTAAGTCATTTTTACACAAAAGGAAAGCCATAATCATCTGTACTTTTCATAAGAATGGTTTTAAAGAAGAAGAGTTAAACCTGTAATTACAGGTTTCAATGAATAAGAAGAGGGCAGGGAAGCCCGGTATTTTGATGGCACCTGCGAGAGTTTAAAATACCCCGAGAAACTGGGGCAATCGTGGTCTACAGAAAAAATTACAAAGACTTCTTTTTTCCTCGAATAAGGCACAAGAAATTACTCCATACAGACCTAATTACAAATGTATGTCAGGATCTTTTTTTCTTTTGGAGAAGCCACCTTTTTCAACTTAATTATCCTATTAACACCTATTGTTATTGTTTCAAGTGGGTGTTGATTACATGACACTTGTGAAAAAGAGAAGAAGAAAACCTCATTATGACACCCACACTGAGAAAAACAATGAAGGGATAACCCTATGGAACACAATGTGATTTTTTGTAGAGTGACCAAAAATATCCAGGGGAAGATATTAGAAATGCTTAATATTATATCTAATAACTCCCATCCTTTACTGAAATTTGGGCCCAGATCAGATCACAGATCATCCTATACTGAAATTCAGGATTGGTAACCTTTTAAAGATCACCCAAAGCTGGTCTCAAAGCTAAGAAACAAAAGCCCTGCCAAAAACTGGACCTAAGCATGCCTTACAAAACAGATCAAGAGCCTGACTTAAAAAGTTCAGTCTTGGAAAAAATAGACTCTGACATTTTACATCTTATGTAAGGTTTACTAAACCCATGTTCTTCTTACAGAGATCAAAACAAATTCAGGCTGTCAACTTGATAAGGATCAGTCTGGGAAAAAATGTCCTTGACTTTTGTCTAAGGCTTGCTGCAAGCACCAAGGGTATAAAATGACTAATTCAGGCTTCCCAAGTAATGAATCACATGTGCAAGTTGTGTCAGTTTATGCTCAAGTAGCCTCCATAGCACCTGGGGTTTTCTGATTAGCCCAGTTCTAAAACGGGGGTAATTAAACCTGGCCGGCTTTGTTGTCCAATATGCAATCAGAAAATAGCACATAATAGATCTCAAAGACCCTGAAGACCCCCAAAACCCCCAGTTTTTGGCATGCTATGGAGGCTAATGCTAAAAAAGGTACACAATCATCCCACTAACTACATACCAGTTGCAAATCACACCACTGCTGGGCTGGTGTGAAATTTGATTAACACAACCTGCCAGTCAATGAAGGATCTTAAGAGTCTTAGACTTTGAGACATTCTCTCAGGAGGTTTCAAGAATTCTAATTAGGAGCTCCTTGGGTTACAGACTGGAATGCCTTATTACCTGTGGTATTATACATTACTTAAGGTTATGATTGGTAATGACAGTGAAGTCTTCAACATCTATTGTTTCAATGTATTTTCTTTCAATAAAGCGAGGAAGGGTTAATTGTTTAGGTAACATTAAATTTTTTTTGTAACATTTATTATCCGTTTTATCTTCATACTTTTGGGCATCTTGCAAATGTTATGTATTTGTTTGTTTGTTTCTTTGTTTGTTTGTTTACTATATTAGATTTGGTAGTGCCTGTCAGGCACAAACAATGTGACAATGTGACAATATATTTATATGACAATGTGACAATGTCTCAATGTACTGTGACAAGTAAGAAAGAAAAGTACCTTGCCAGAAGTAGCTTCCAACTGCACCCAACAAAAGCTGTTCAGCATCCTTCGGAAAAAAAAGACAACATTTTTAAACACCGACAACTTTTCTGAACACCTGGATACTGAATGGAACAAATCAGGTTAGTTTTACAATTGTTGAATTGACAATTAAAACCAAAACCAAACACTGAAACTGAGTAACAGATTGTTACTTTACATGCAAAACACAAAATCTCTAATGCAAAAAAATGTCATTTAAGTACAAATACATTGCACAGATGAAAACAAACAAAAGGCAAATGCAACACAACAACAATCAGGGGGGATTTGACATTACAATCTGTATGACAAGCATGAATGATTGGATTAAATCACTTTCCCTTCTTGGAAACAAAAAAGGAAAATGAGACATTGATCAAAAATCACAATGAGCAACAATTACAACAGGTGAGGGGAGGTTAGCTCTAACACTAACAGTAAAATATAAGAACCATGGTTTGTTAGATACAGACAGTAGGACAGAAAGTTTTTGTTAGAGAGAGCCTGGATACCAGCCAAAACACAGGCTTTTCTTCCTCCATTATCAACAGCTAGGGAAGGAAGAAGGAAGAAAGTGCCTGCATATGTACAGTACCAAGGTGACAGAGACAGGGGAAACACAGTGATTTCTCTACACGAAGACGTAGGTTCTTGTTGTATTTGCCTACAGAAAGGTATGCCTTTCCTGAAATCTCTTGCAATGCTCACCTTCTAACACTAACAGATGATACAAGACTAAAAGTTCACTGTCACCTGCGGTGACATGTACAACGCAGTAGCTGGATACACCTTTATTTCCTACATATACGACATTGTACATTTGTGTATAAGCATTTTTTTCCCTCAGAATTTTGCTTCATGATTTCATCTTGTTGTGCAATGCTCAAAAGTTCTGTTCCAATAACCAGTAAATGAGCTGAGGATCTTGATGCCACAGAAGTTGTGCAGTCTGTACAGTTAAAAAAAGAGCTTGTAGAAGGCAGTGTTCCGATTATTCAACAGGTTGCCACCACCTTTAAGTGACAGGGCATTCCTCATGCCATCAAAATCACTTTGGCCGATCCAACCTGAAGTTGAAAATCTGTACGTCACAAAACGACACACCAGCAACAGATGGTTCATAAGCATTTACAGGGTCCCAGGAGGCCACACCGAGACACTGCCGCCTGGGTGACACAGCCCACATCGGCAGCATGCAGGGTTGTTCTTTGAGGCACACAGTACGAGAGCTCTGACCCCCGAAATCTGAGTGTCACTGATTGTGTGGGCACTTTTGAAAGCTGCTGTAACCGTGGAAGAAAAGCAGTCACCCCCGCAGGAGACATGGCCTCTAAAGAAGACTGAGAACAACAAGGAAAATAAGAAGGCAGAGATGCACTTCCAAGAGTCTTCAAGGAGCAAAAGAGCACAAACTAACACAGAAAAACCAGAGCTAAATAAAGGCCATGTTATGTTGTGTAGGAAATTAGTGAAATGCAAGGAAAATGTGATAAATAACTGTTTTCCATTCACCATTTGACTGTAGCCTGTGTGGGCAGAAAAGACCTAGACCAAGAACATTGAACAATGCACAAAAAGAAAGACCCAAAGACCATGCTCAGCTCACTGTTAGACTGTCTTGTGAACACAAAAGGAGGTGTGGCCATTCAATGATGTCATGTCTAAGCTCTTATTTCAGGACAATTCGTCCTATAGATCATCCTATTGCTACCCCCTTCTTTCCCTGAGATGGAATAGTCGTCTCAACCACAGTCCCAAGGACTGGTAGAGCAGAAAATTTGCGGGCAGCAGACAGTGGCATAAGTGGCCTTGGAAACTGGCAGACCTGTTAATAAGAAGACATTGGAGCCTTCAAGCATGGCGAGGGCTTTCAATCTCCAGACACAACCACTTGCAAAGAAGAGGGACCGAAATTGGAAGAGTTCACCAAGGCACACCGAGGGACTGCTAGCTGAACTAATAACATTAGGGACTGTTCTACCACACATCACAAACTTTGTGAAAAAGAAACATGTGATTTCCAATTGGACAAAACAAGTACTAAGGGGTGAAAGTAATAAGTATTCAGGGGGTGAAAATATTTTATTGAAAATTATGCTTCAGACAGTGGTATGTTAAATTGCTTTGCAGAAAAGTTGTCATTCCTATATGTCATGTACTTTTTGTTCCTAACTTTCTGCATCTCCAGAACAATCTAGTAGTTCCTGAAAGAAATAGTGACATTACTGGAGCATGAACTTTCAGAGTCTCAAGTTTAAAATCCCTGAGGGAACGGAACAAAGACATCAAAGAGAAACAGGAGATTATAACGTCTACTAACAGAACACTGAAGGTCAAAGTGTAACCAAGGTCGACAAGGCTCCTTAGCCAAACAGATTACCGTGGGGAACATTGCAGAGTTGTTTAAATTTGTCACCATTATCTGCGGTTTAGTGGTTACTCTGACTTTTTTGGGGGGGAGGAACTTTTTTTTAAATTCTAGTTTATTGGATTGCTACATGTGTCTTTTGTTAGTCTTCGAGGTAAAAAGGATCATGGTCTTATAATAGGAGAGAAATGCATGATGGGATACATCCTCCTTGGGTGTTCTCTCCTGGAGGGAAGAGGATTTGTCCGAAGGCAAGAGTTCCGGGCTAGGACAAAATAGTCTGGAAATTCAGACACAGGGGAGGATTAGATCTAAAGACAGAACATGGAAATACACTCATAGAGTCAGCAGCCAAGCAATTTGCTGTTTCCGGTCTGTTGGATTTGGGCTCTAGCCACTCTACTCTAGAGCTATAATTCTGAAACCCCATTAACTTAAGTAGCAGTTTCACACTGGTACATTACCATAGTACTTTACTCATACAAACACCCAGGAAAAAGCTCTTTAGCTACGTAGCAATGAACACGTGAGGACGAACATGGGTAACACAATCCAAAGGCGATCTTAAACTTCAAGTTTCCTCTACTGTGTGATAATATACAATGTCTGACTCATAAAGCAATAAGATTGGTAAAGTTAGAAAATAACCAAAAGAAAAGTCTACCCTGTAAGATCTGTCACAACAGGTACTGTGTTAGGAAGTTGATTTTAATTATTGAGACACTGATAGACTCTGCCTAGATTGGTCCCGAGATACAATCAATCAGATCCGCCAACGAGATGTCATTCTCAATCAAATGCCTGGCAGCTACACATTTCCCAAAAGAGCAACACTGGGTTTCTTTCTCGTCTCATACAAAGCATTTTCCCGTTCTTTTTACCAGTTTCTGTGGTGTGGGGTTATACAAGGGGGTGTACATGTATCAATGCCCAAAAGCTATTCATTTTGCCACTCTCAGAGGTACAGTTGGCCTGGCTAATGAAAACAATTGGATCTGGAAGGGTCGATCCGGGTTGAGCTGGAATGTTGTACGGCCGGAGTAAGACGGCCTCGGGCCACACACACTCAGTAACAACAGGCTTAGACTTTGCAGACCTAGGAGATCAACCAACCCAGGCGTAGAAAGGTGGCAAACAAAAAACAACCTCCATGACTTTGACCTTACCGGTATCGCAAGCCGCCCTACAGGACATTCTGTTCGAGAAAACTGGATGCCAAGTTTTTCTTGGTTCCACAGAAATAGAAAAATCACAATCACGCATTTCCTACATTTTGCGATGTGAAGGTCAATGCCCTCAAACAAAAACACAGTTCCTATGAAGAAAGAGGTCAACGACCTTGGACTTAAAGCATTTTCATCCATCCAAGTTCTGCCTTTAAACCATGTCAAATTTTAGGGTACCTCTCCAACTGATTCTGTTGACCCTTAATTCAAAAGAAGCATTTAATCCAAAAGCTTTGAAGTTCCTGCTTCCAGAAATGTTCAGCACAGGGACCGGATTGTCCTCGGGGCTGACTGGACCACTGTAGAATTTCCTGACCGACCTACCAAACATTTCCTGCGCCAGGAACAGCTCAACATACATCCAGGGACGCCTCTCAACAACAGGAAACCCAGCTGCTTCATAACGAGCCATCCAAACCTCAACATTCGGCTCTTATCAAGAGTAATTATGCGGAATCACTGTGTAAAAATCTTGTTTTTATTTTTTTTTAAGAAGCTTGGCGGGGAAATGGAGCTTCTGTTGCCGGCTACCTTCTCTGGCCAATTAATATCCTTCTTAGGCCGATTTCTATGATTTATTCACCCCACAAAAGTCTGGTGGAGACTAATAATGGGCCATCAAAACCTCAACATTCGGCTCTTATCAAGAGTAATTGTGCGGAATCACTGTGTGAAAATCTTGTTTTTATTTAGCTAACAAACCATTGCTGGGAAGGAACTCAAAATGCCATGAGCTTTGTTTAATGATGTATACATTTTTTTTTTTTTTGCTTCAAAGAATGAAGTAAAAATAGAAACTGTTTGTGACAGCTAATTGTAAGCTAATTAATGACCAATTAGTGCCTCCATCTTTATGAAGCCACCATGGCAACAGCTATAATTACTGAGAAGACTACTGACATAGCTTGTTTGATACAAATCACAGAAACAGTTATCAATAGCACATAAAGTGTGTTCAAAGTGTTGTCTGTGTTGGCAGTTTGACAACACACATAGCTCGTCTTTGCCAAAAATAGTCTATTCACTTCCTTGACTTCAGAGAAAACATCATACCTTCTTGCTATATCCTCATTGGGTGTATCATATCCTTCTGACTAAATGTTAGCATGTTTCTGATAGAAAATACAAGGCAACATCCCACCGATACCCCCAGGGCCTTCCCTTCCATTTTCCTCGTCATCAAAAGAATCTGAGCAACTACATTCACAGATGCATAATCACATCCTGATCATACAAAGAACTGGCACAAGCCTACCGGTAATAGGTACAGAAACGGAGAAAGAGAAAGGTTAAATGTGGTACATTTTGAGCCAGATGAATGATGACATCTCGTACAAGAAGGATTAGAAAGGTGAGATTGTTGCAATTAGAGCCTGAAATAACTCACTGTTTGCGGGATATGAAGGGAAATTTTGATGACTACAATTATAGTGTAAACTAAAGGAGGTAGCCATAAAACGAAATCATTTCAAGGGAAAACTGAAATTTTAAAACACTAGTACTGACGAAAACAAGGACAGATAGAATCAAGATCAAACTCCAGAGCAAAAGAAATATAAAGCAACATCTATTTTGATGTTGTTCTGAAATAACATCTTGAGAAGAAAGCATATGAAAGATATCCTTGTTTCAAGTAAAGAAATAAGAGCCATACAGACCAAAAGCAAATTTCGAAACCATAGCTTGTAACCAGTATGAAATAAAAGTCCTGTTCTAATTAGAAATAGAAAACAAGATACATATGAAGCCACTCAAAAAGAGGAAGCATAAACCAAAGAGTAACTGAATCGAGAAGCCGGGAAAAACAATTCTTCGGATCAGAGGAAATAAAGGATTCTTGAGAGCAAATAATCAAGACAGAAGATCCATTTCATAGAATACAGCAAAACGAAGGTGGGAAGCATTTTTATATTTCAAAGTGTTAGAATAACAGTCAGTTTTGCATTGTAGGACTAAACATCTATTCGGGATCTTTTGTTTCAATTTTTTAGTCTACTAATTGTACAATCAACAGAAAAGGAGATCTAGAGTTATTAGAGATTTAATCAAAGGGTTTAGAAATCTGAAAGTCCTTGTCAACCAGCTACCCTACTTGTAGAAAAGACAGTAGAGGTGTCATGGCTGCTGAGATCTACACCCAGGAGGAGCGGCATAGAAGGAAGAGTCTCCCCAGGTCACACCCTGTGTACTTACATTAGCAAAATCCAAACTGATACCGGCCTGACAGTAGCCAAGGCGGCCGAAACCACCCTGGCTGTCTGGAATGGGGAACAAAAAAACCACAACAAAGAACATAAATGTTGGTTTACACAGCATGCAACACAGATGGACACATGGCACTGGCACTGGTGGTGAGTGTTACTGTATCCTGGGGACCAGTCTGGAAAATGTGGTAGAAACATCCGTAGGAAACAGGAGTACCCCCAGTAACCATAACCTTTTAGTTTTACTGCTTTGTCTTGCAAAAGGTTGGCTTGCGTTTGCAGAAAATCTGGAAAATCTTACATCAAAATATTTGTTTTGTTTTGGTTTTGTTTCATTCAATGTAAGATAAGTTGCAATTTAAGTGTGCAAAATTAGATTAAAGAATATGCAAATGTTTGCATAATTTGATTGATGGACTATATTAAACAGACAAGGGGGTGAATTGGGATTTCTAAAGTAAGTGCAGTAACAGGAAAATCCACTGCAATTTTGCCTTCAATAATTTCGAAGTCCTGTTACATTACTTTAAAGACAGATTTCTATCATTGTTGCTAGGGATAATAGCAACTGGCTACTTGGGTAGGCTTATATACTGTTATGTTGCCACATAACTTGATGAAATAAACACTGTTCCCGAGGATGTTTCCCAGCCGACATCCCCCCAGACTGGCCCTGGTCAGGACCTGACTGTACGAGCTGTGAGTACTTACGGGTGAGAAATCTGCACTAAACCCCGCCTGGCAGTAACTAACTTGATTCCAACCGATATTATTCTCCCAATCTGAGTCAAGCGCTACAGGAGAAACCAGCACAGTTAATGGGTTAAAACTCCTCTCTAAGGGGCTGAAATAAAGATCACCGCAAAAAATATGTGCAAAGTAAGAAAGGAAAAATAAACAGGAAAACAACTAGGCAGCCCTGGCACGCATTCCTTAATAATAAAAGAAAATAGCAAAGAAAAAAATTAAAGCTAGTATAAGTGAAGCTGCCTTGTTACCCATGCACTAAAGAATTTCATGTGACATGCTTTAATCAAACCAAGCATTAGAAAAAAGTTCTACACTACTTAATATATACTATATCACTATCAGTCAGGCATTAGATTCACATTCATGCTAGTTATGTAACTTGACTTAACTGATTACATGCAAAACTACTACCTATACATTAATTCCAAGCATTATTCACATTTCCAAGCATACATTACCATCAACATTTTGCAATCTCCACATAGCATTACGATGTAGCATTCATTGTAAAAGTCATTCCAAAAAGAACTTCCTGAAGGTTGCAGGAATACTTACCCTTCTTGCAGGGGGAATAGTTCCTGATTTGTGAGAAGTTCGCAGCAGCGAGGAAACAGTTACCTACAGGCTCCCTCTCCTTAAACGTTTCTGTGTAGTACACATATCGTGGTGCACATGCCTAGGGTAAAATAAAATAAAAAGGTATCTGTTTCAGAAATAATTTATTAAAGGATAAAAGCATTGATACTTACAAAGAAATTCACTTGGAAGAAGGTAGGAATTAACATCAAACAACACTTAAGAAGACATTTGGCTGGGATCTCTTTGTCTAGCTAATATTTCAACATTACAACTTATACTTATTTATAGGCTGGGGATGGAACACACCATCATGGCAACAACACAGTAAGTGTCCTTCAGATTTTCAAAATGGCATTCAAAATGGCATAAATTCGAGACCTACTAAAAATGTTTCATTTTTAAAAGAATTTAAATTGGACCCCATGGGACCATTGCTGTCCTGAAAGCTCTAATCTGACAAAGGTACAATTTAGATCAGAGCTCGAGCATTCACTGTACAAACACTTGGGCAGTATAAGATTACTTTAATAAGTTCTATAATGGATAGAAGGTAATCAGTTTTTCTCTTACAATGACTACATCCTTGGCAGGAGAAGCACTCTTGACGGTGGCTCCGAACCACTGTCCTGACTTCTGGTCCTTCGGTAGGATGTTTCCCTCCAGGTCCACTCCTCTGTCATCACCTGGGATTAGACAAATGTTCAAAATTTCTCAGTACAGTTGAATTCCATACATGTGACAACTTCAGAATCTACTAGTATACATGAGGGCCACCTGGCTATTGTGGCCACTGAATGATTGTTTTTTTCATTGACCCATGCATAAAATTGATGATAAAGAACCCTGACTACAGTGAGTAACCATTTTCTTCAAGTCCCTTGAGTTGTCACTATAGACAGACTTGGCAGTACTGTTTTTCAAACGCCCAGCAATGTGCAATATTGAGTAATATGTTGTTGTTGTTGTTGTTTTGTCCCATTGAACAGCAACAGCAGTCAAACAATGGACCACCAATGCTCCACTTTGAAAACTTTATGCTCTTACTCTTAGAAATTATGGTTTTCTCAGTCGGCCGGACTGACTTTGCAGCCACTCCCTCCCAGAGTCTCAGTCGCTGACTTTTCATGAGGGACATTCATAATACAAGTTTCAAGTTTTATAATAATGTCTGCTTGATTATTTTCCTTTAGATCCTGTGTAAATAGATATTTTTAAAACGTATGCTTAGCTGCTTTGTTATCAAAGCCAAACCAAAGAGGTCGGAGAGCTTCGCCAAACTGTCACCGATATGAAAGCCATATGCCTGTCAACAAGTACGCTCTGCCAACGGTCTTGTCACACATATCTGAAGTTGTAACCTAGTTTATCGGGCCGTCGACAATGTATCAAGAAAGACAGGCTGTCTGAAGTTCCCAGATGTAACTTGTTGGCACATTTTTTCTTATCTTCCATGCACAGATAACACGCGTAGAAAATAACGGTGTCAGATGCTCCCGCTCCCTTCCAACTTTTTCAAAAGTCCCAGAGATCATAAAAAACAAAACCCAAGAAAATAAATGTAGACTAACTAAACTAAATCTCTTTATACATCAACTATCCATAGTATTAACCAATTTTGAACACTACAAAAGCAGAAAATATTGATCAAACTTCGTCTGCTATTGAAATCGATTCAATCTTACCGCCATCTTGGAAATCCAAACATTTACTTCCGGCAGTTTTGCTACCAAATATGGTCATGCTGACCCACACTGCCTACGTACTTCCGGTGACTTACGTTTTTTTGTCTGGGACATGACGTCACCAATGTTTGGCATTCCCCAACCCACTTTGACGTCGGAGAGCCAATAATATAGTGTCGCAAAGGGTGTCTTAGAAACACAAAAATGAACCCCTTCGGCCAAAAAGATTGTCCATTCCATAACCTCAAAAAAAAAAAACCTCAGAAACTAACAAAGATCACAAATTTTGATGAAGAGAGTTTTTGTGTGAGTTCTTTTCTTGTATGTTTTGTTGACTTGTTTGCATACAACTTTGCTATAAACATGCAATTGGTTATTCTTCAAAATACAAGTGCTACGGTGCTTAACTATGCCATTTTCTGTTCTATATACGATGAGAAAAATGTAATAAAGGCTTTTCAAGCGACCGAAACGGGTTAGTCACTGGCGTAACGGGTTAGTGATAGTGAATAATGCCTTCATGTTGAATGGACAGGAACTTCTCTGGACAAGGGTCGTCTGAGCAGGAAAGCAGGACCGATTTTGGCGGAAAAACGAGTGAAATGAAACCGGGAAGTTTCTTCTTCTTTTAATCCAAATAGATTAGTAAACATCGCACACGTCACTCGTGCAAAAATGTCAAATTTGGTGTACTTTTCAAGCCTTCCCCGAAGCTAAATACTGTACACATGTAACGTTACATGTATGTCGTAAAAGAATTTACAAAAAGATTTTCCCTGCCTTCGTTTTATACTAACATCACGTATACATACCTCCGCGAAATGGTGCCTTTTTTGTAGTCTAAAATATTTATCGATTGCCCATTTAAGTCATTTAATTTATTTTCTTAAACAACGTGCCCAAGTACTTCGTGTTTTTTTTAATTCCAACATGTAATCACCAGACGTGGTGACGGCACACTCAAGTTTTATCAACTTATATTAATGCCGCCACCAACACATGGGACAAATACATGACAGGACAATACTCATTTTCACCTGAGCGAAGTGAGGAAAGTCGTGTATTTCGTTACATCCGGAAAACACAAATCGTTCACTAAACGCTTGAAGTTGAACCGAACGTTCTATGACCATAACATGAAGGGTGGTAACATAATTTCATCGGCAGTCTGAACAAGAGAAAATCCTTTTAGAAGGAATTTTTCACCTAAATCAATTCTGGGTGGTTTCCGCTCAAAAGGTGTTGATAACGACTCTGCCACAAATCCTATTTTCATACAAAATTGATGGAACGCCGATATACCCTTGGGAAGGTAACTTGACGGATTATGTATGACTCGGCCCCCTTCCTTTTTTATCTTCTGATGATCACATAAATATTTAGCGGCTTACGTTCATCATAACTTGATACACTTGTTCATGTGGATATGACAATGCCTTTTCACGGTATGTGTGACGTTAATATTTACTCAGAAGCCACCAAATTCTGCATTATCTATTCTTATAATCAGATAGAGGAAATGTCAATTTGCATGAGCTAGTATCACATGGGCAGCAACTTGAATATCCGGTCATTCTAAGAACATAGGCCTTCATATGATTACTCTCCAAGCAGAGGTTTGGGTTTTGGGGGTATTTTTAGCATGTTTTTAGGCTTTTTTTATCGGGGTTTCTCTTTTGCACTGAATTTTGTTTTGGTGGGGAAAAAATTCAGTGCAAAAGAGAAACCCCGATAAAAAAAGCCTAAAAACACGCTAAAAATACCCCCAAAAACCCAAACCTCTGATTGGAGAGTACATATGATCGTCGACGTCACTAGAGGCATTTCCTATCTTGCCAAGCTCTCTTATATTGATGCCATTCTTTTACATTGTACGTAAGCTGCACTTATCCTTTTAAAGTGGTTTGCAAGTCCACTCAATTTTATCAACAAGTCAAGTTTATCGAAGTCATGGTAGAGACTAGAAAGACAAACGGAAATGACATCTTTGACATTGTACGTAAGCCGCACTTATCGTTTTAAAGTGGTTTACAAGTCCACTCAAACTTATCAAGTTTAGAAACTAGTCAAGTTTATCGAAGTCATGGTAGAGACTAGAAAGACCACGGAAATGACATGTCAAAAACCCGCGGTGTCAACATTCTTTGGCATTGTACGTAAGTTTACAACTCTACTCAAGTTTATCAAGTTTATAAACTAGTCAAGTTTATCGAAGTCATGGTAGAGCGCCCACGGAAATGACATGTGAAAGACTTACCGTCGTTGTCGAAAGGGATGGGTGCGCAGGGGTTGGGTGTGAGGGAAATACTGGTCTTGACGTCACATCGGAACACCGCACCCCCCTCAGTAACACCCGGCTGGGCGGTCTGACTTTTGGGGGCTCCCGCCAACAACCTGGGAATTAGAATTAACTCATTAGAACGTCGTAATTATAGATCGAAAAAGTAACACTAGACACAAGGTTGCTTGACAATGTCAGAATCACAGATTTCAACTTGCCTTGTTGCTGAATTTACAAGAAACTTTAATAACACTCCATATGAGATGCTTCACAGTATCTTCGTTTTTTTTCTGTCACTGATTACAAAGATATTTGACATTTGATAGAAACAAACGGTGCGGCTCAGTGACCCTACGAATTGCAAAAGTGTCGGTTATCTAGTGGAATTCGACGAACGGAAGAACCCTCCAGCTCCGTAATGTAACGGCGAATTTGCAATTATTTCAATTATTCTGCCACCAAAGACCGTCCATCTTTCCCCGTGCGCAGAGGGCAGCCCCGTTAGCGGCCCCCCTGTCGGCGCCTTTGTGGCCCTTTTGTGCCCGTTTCTTTAGCGAGTTGGCGCGAGAGGAGCCGGCCGACAGGTGGTCCGGTAGATGATGCACGACAGGGAACATTCGCGCACAAAGATGGAGCACAAGACAGGCGCCAGGAAAACAGGACAGAGCCGGGACAAAAACAGAGGTTTGTGAGAGGGACATGGTTCCCTTAGAAACAGGAGAACCAACTAGTTTCCACCAGACTAACAGCGCTGATTCAAAAACGGTAATATTTAGGGCCAGGGCTGACTTATGATCCTGGCTAATTATTCTTTTCCGAATTCTACGATCCGTACCCCCACCCCCACCCCTTTGCTCGGAACGCCTATGGAGGCTAAGAACCAACCCACAGGTAGATTTGGAAGAGAGGATTGACACTACTCTTCAGAAAATTGTTACGATCTTCCCTGCTGACAACTGCTTGGAGAATAAAGAGCATATCGAATCGTCCCTACCAACTACGAACCTTCCCTAGTGACGTATGAATGAAAACTATCATGAAGGGCAAAAATTGGTTCGGAGCCAGCTGAACTTTTCTATTCGCCCCCGAAAGGAGTTTGCGGCCAGTGGTGGTGAGAACGTGTAGCCGAGCATGTTTAGCAAACACCCCTCAAGACTACCGAAAGGGCGTCTGTCTCGGGGGATTTACTGTCCCATACGGGGGCATTACTGGGAAAATAAAGAGGATCGTAACAGAAACAACACACGATACGGACACTCGCATTCCGGAAAAAGTGACCAGAGTCGGTCTCCATGGTATCCCCAATCAACGTACACCGCTAGGAAAACTCTCTGTCATCCGATCCGTCTTTTAAAGTGCCAAACGTACAACAGATACGTTTGACATGTTGCTAGTACTTTAGAGTTAAAACTGGTCAACGGGAACCGAAATACTAGTAGCCGTGCGCAGGTGTAGGATAACCCCGCAGACGAGAGGTAAAGCTAGAGAAAAACCCATCCACCAATCCCGATGATATTCAAGAAAGGGCATGGCTTTTTTAGACAGGAATAATATAATTCAGAAACGCCTGGAGTGAGGGTTAATTGCCCCGGGCTATACAGTAATTTCGCCCATCCCGCTTTATGGTTATCACCGCCTTTCCTACGCGGACCCCGGAAGTACGACATTCGTCAGGCAAGAAGGTCGGAAAGGCGAAATCTGTTCGCTGTCAAACAGAACACACGGTCGTGGGTAAACTTTGGATTGATTTTGACTGCCGTAAACGCTACAGGTTTGTGTACCGAGTGGGCTGTACAGATATGCAGGTGCCCGTAGCGCTGCCATCTGGTGTGTCGGACAGGCCGTCTGGGCAAGCTAGCGCACGGAGAGAGAACATGCCGGGTGTCACGGCTGGGTAGCGTATTAAATCTCCAAGCAGATCTTTTGGTAGGGGTAAGACAGCATCAAATTGGCCAGTCTGTAACCATTTCCCCACCCAAGTGGTTGGTGGTGGTAGCGACAAAAAAGGGCCGTATATAAAAAAAAGCAAACGATCTTCCCGCCACCAACCCTCTGCTTGGAGAGTAGGGTAGCGATCTTTCATCAGATCTAAAAACGCGCCGCGCTGGCATTTTTTTGTCTCGATCTTCCAGAAGACCTCAATAGCGGACTGAAAATAGTTGACAACTTGGCTGATGCTGTTGGTTTTTTAAGGAGTACAGATCCAAAAGGAGTATAAGGCCAATTTCTACTACTGGTTTTTAACAAGAACTTTTTGTCTAAGTCCGTCAATATCGCCGTAGCGAAACGCCTCCGCGTCTTGTCTCCACGCGACGTACCAGAATCTTTTCGGAAAAATTTTTAAAAGTGGTGAAACAGGGTGGTCCTGAATGTCCAGTTGCCTGACAGCAGATTGGGCCGACTTAACCCGAATTATTCACCCTATATTTAAGTATTTAGCAAATTTGTAGTATCTTTTTTCAGTTTAGAAACTTCCGTCCCGAACCGTCTGCCACAGAAACAAGAACAGGACCTTGTAAAAGATTAACCCCCAAAGTAAACTCCGGCACACTGTAAGGAGGTCGTTCAACATGGCGTGGTCCCTGACCCGAGGTCACACATAGTTTACCGAGCCACACTACAGAACGTGTCGTCGTTTGAGGAACAGTTTACGTACAAAATAGTTCTGATGTGGTGCTACAAACACGTTCATAACCCCTTTCTGCTTGCTGTGACAACTTATGACTGTGAAAGGGGCGGGTGAAAGTCTCACTCCTGCCGCCCCACTTCGCACCTTGACGCTAAAAACTGTCGTTTGCTCGCATGAATACAACACGTCCCATCTGTCGACCCATCCCACTGTTTTCGCCACTACAACCATAACTCACCGATGTCAAAGGAGAGAAAAGTTTCTACCAAGAGAAAAGGAAGAAGAATCAACGTACCAGGCACTGTCACCCTGCCCGTGGAAGTCCACGGAAAATCCGAACAAGCTCCCGGCGGCCCCCGTCCTGGTGACCCTGGTCGCGTCTGAGGTATCCAAGTTGAAGCAGCTCGAATCGTGCACGTTGAAAAATAGCAGCAGTGTGAACAACACAGACGCGTAACACGTCCTTCTGTATTCCTTCAGCGTCGGGAAAAGCACATTCTTCTGTAGAAGATCCATGGCAGCGAAGGCTTGAACGCACGTATGTAAAGTCAACAGTCGGCTGGAAAATTTCAGTAGAGATCGTAACGCGATAACAAGGAGCCCACTTCACGCCCGACAAAAAAACAAAACGAACTTGTCAAACGATACTTGGTCTAGGTTCGTACGCGCAAAACACGATCACAGCGTAAAAGATTCAAAGTTGTAGTGTAGACGATGTATAACAGAACAAATTGCTTCCGAATTACGCGAAGAGCCTTCCTTACAACGCCGGATAGGATGTACTCTGAGTTATGAATGGTCCACAGGCCGTGCGACTGTCCGATTTGTACACCGGAAGGCGGGGACTATTCACGGTTTGTGACGCGGCTATTTGCATACCTGCTCCCCGACTGGGTGGGCGGAACTGCCCCTATGACATCACTGTCTAGCGGCGGCGGGGTGAGTAGTAGTCGGAGTCGGAGTGTAGGGCAGGGTAGGGTGTCCCCGGGCGAAGGATCGTGACGTCACAGCGGCTTGAATATTCATCTTTTTACCAAATACAGGCATAACATTAAATGCGCTCGCTGATCTTTATCAAGTAGTACTAGTAGACAGCGGAAAGTTGAGACGTGCTTTGGATTTATTTTTAACTAACTCCTTTTCTACTGAAGAGTCTGAATCTACGTAGACTTGAAAATTATATATCCATATCTATTTATACACTACACTATATATCTACAGTATCTTCGATACGATATTGTTATTGTGTCTGTATGTCGGTGAGGAAAAACATTTATAGCAATGCGCGAGTGTCATACACTGTCAGTTGGCATGTCAAAGGGGCGAAACACTTCTGTCTTGTGTAATTTACATACCAAGACAGAGAGTTAAAACAGTTCTGATTTTAGCATATCGACGATAAGAGCTAGATAACAATCTTTCGCGTCCTTGTTATTTTGTTCCTGTGCGAATCATGTTCTAAAAGTTGTTCTCCACTCTGTCAGCTGCCTTCCGGTTCCGACTACGGTTTTCCTGTCCGGAATTTCCTACTGAGCCATCCTTGTGTTGGCCTGGAATCCAGTCTTTTACAAGGTAGTACCAGGCACCGCGGATCGCTGGAAAAATAGTAGAAATTGGACGAAATAAAGGGATAGTATACGAGGGAAGATCCAGGGCCATAGAAGCTCCAATTTGCGACAAATTGGAGCTTCTATGATCTTCTATGGCCCTGGATCTTCTCTGGTATACTATCCCTTTATTTCGGCCAATTTCAATTTCTACTATTTTTCCAGCGATCCGCGGTGCCTGGTAGAGGCTAGTAGTTGGCGAAGTAGCGACCATAGGATGCGGGCTGAAACCGACAAGACTGGACCCCAGGCTACCCCTAACGAGCTAGAACAGACAGTGACTATATCAGGTATACCGCAGGTATATTTGTACTGACAAACATAGCCTGACTAAAGCGCGCTCCTAGCGGCCTAGTGGCTGTAGCACAGGCTAGCTGCGCCGGGTATCCAGGGTGTGGAAAAACACGTCATAATTTCCTAGCGAGCGATATGATGGAACAGGGTGCTGTTATCTGATAACCAGGGGTTTTGTCTCAAAATGCTACAAGAAAACGCTACAAGAAAACTTCTACCGTACTGTGAAGGCCATATATAGTACTCGGTATGTTGTCTTATATGTTTGTCCATGGAGTTGGTTTGACAAGAACGACAACCAAACAAAACTACAATGTAGAATCAAGGACGTGTTGAAGCTCCTTGGTAGAATAGACGATAGCTGACCCTGGCAAACGATTAAACCCAAACTATATACGATATACAAACCACTTTACATATGTACTTCAATTTTGATGGACGCCATCTCCAAGGTCTTTCATTCATTCATACTAGTACATGTCAGCAAAAAAATAGGCATTATTAAAACGCAGACCGGAGACTTTTGTAGAGTCTAGACATTCTTGTCTTTTATTCAGACATCTCAGCACCGCCAGACGGAGACAGCCCTGAGTGGGTCTTACCGCGTGGGTATTCTGGTGATGACTAACGTCTTCAGTGTCAGTCAAAGCCGAGACTATTCTAAGATATTATTTCCCGTCAGACGCGTGGTTTTGCACCCTTTCCTTCGTCTTGTAAAACTGCTTTTCATGTTCCAGCGACTTACCAAAACGACCGGTGAAAAATACCACCCCAAGCGATGGAAAAGAAGAGAAGTTTGCCTAGGGTGACCTGGATGTGGTTGCGGTGCTGTTGCAGCGTCCTCTGTCGGAAACAACACTCACTGCAGACAACCTCTCTTACCTGCTTATTTTCTATACCTTGTTCCCCTTTCTCTTACCCCTTCCCTCCTTCTGCCCATCATCTCTTTTCATGAAATGTTTTCCACCCACGGTTTCTTAACAACTTCCTTTCCCAAACGTCCTTTAAAACTTCTAAATTTAGATCTTAGATTTAGTCAGTGTTCCCTGAAGCCCCCTCACTGTGACAAGTCGGAAGTCTACGCTAACACAACGACGTGCGAAGGTTTAGGAACTTGGCAGACTAAACATCTGAACTGAAGTGCAATGATTTCACAAAGGTTCAACCAAAAATAGAAAAACTCACAATACAATACCAGAAATACCCATATAATGAAGTCATGGCGGGTTCAATGATGATTGAAAGCACTGAAACCAATACCAAACGTACACAATTCAAAGCTGGTGTGTTACGCCGAAAGGCGGTTATACCGGCTATACAGACACAGATACACATTGCTGAAAGCGCTATTGAAGGTACTAGGAACATGCTGTCCTTCGCAGGCTCCTTGAAATGGCGGCGTTCATATTTGGGGTAGGGCTGACTTATGCAATTTTTACACGGTTTTAAGGTTCAACTCTAGTGAACTGTGCCACAGAGTGAGTTATGCCACGGAGGGAGGTACACTTCTTTGAGTACTGGTTCTAGCTAGTCTCCACCAGACTCCTTTTGCAGGCTGAATAAAATCGTAGAAATCGGCCTAAAAAGGGTATTAATTGGCGAGAGACAAGGTAGCCGGCCATCGACGATCCATCGACGATCCATTCGGCCGATTGGATCGTCGATTTATTCAGCCCGCTAAAGAAGTCTGGTGGAGACTAGCTGTCCCCGCTCTGAGAAGTCTAATAGGAACACATGTTGTGTCTGGATACCAGCCAGACTGTTAGGCTTGCCCTTTGTCTTGTTGGCTTCCAGGTAGAAGTTTTCGAATGTTTGCTTATCGGCTGTGACGTAAAAGTCAACAACGCCCAGGTGCGTCCCGTCATCGTTACGTGTTAATAGCGGAACATTTCCGTTTGTAAGGGGTAATAAATAACTTCTTTTTGTGTTGTAGTGAAAGCTGGAATGTGTGTTAGTAATGTGAACTTCAACTTTACTGTTTGTTTGCATGACCGTGCATCTGAGTGTTAAATGTAAAACGTTATAGACATTATTGTGCTAAAAATAGACGTCTTGTTTTCTTTGATTCATACATATCAATTTATTTTGGGTCTCAACTACTTCCACTTTTCAGTCATGTTAGTAGTAAATGGCATTTTGCAGCAGATTATGAGAAATGTAAACTCGAACCTGAACCAACGAAACCCTTTCGTCACTTTTGTACCGCGCACTACCACGGACCCCTTAGGTCGCCGCTGCAAATTTCCGTCTCGTAAACGGTCGTCGATATCAGACAGATTTCCTCATCCAGAATATTTTTATTTTGCCGCTCCGAAATTGGGCAGGACACAGTGACATAGCACAGATAACCCAAGCTTCCTATGATTGAAAAAGCCATTACCCTGATTTAAAGGACACCAAATCACAAACCCTGTACGTTAACGCAATCATGTTACTAATTATACAATTTCTCCATCCTTTCATCATTTAGAAGATCACCAAAAGACTACGTTTCTACTAAGATCACAAAACCCACTAATTATGCAGAATGTGGGACTGTTCATTATCCACTGCCTCCAAAGAAGAAGTCGAACCCCATAATAGCTAGCGTAGTACTAGTAGTAGAAGTTCTTTCCAGACAGTTGTTACCTGTCTCCTGTTACTGTATTGCAATGAGTATTATACTTGATTGTAAAAGCAATTAGCCTTCGGGCATGATTTTGCAAATAAAAGTTATTAATTATACAATGAATAACATTTCGTATCGGTGTCACTCGAAATAACGTTTTACTCTACGTCGGGCATATCTTATCATATTCTTGAAGAGATTTTGACTATAAACTTTGGATTTGCCTCATGTTTTTTTTCATATTCGTACGTTTTCGCAAATTTCTTCCTGTGATTCTCACAAGTTTCGTGCGAATTTCTAGCCTCTACCAGGCTTGAGGGCGCAGCTGGAAATAGTAGAAATTGGCCAATTTATAGAGAGATATAACACGCCGAGGGAGTTTAGCCATCCATTGTGGGCCGGCAAACTGTAAACTGGATGGCTAAGCTCCCTTGGCGTGTTATATCTATTTGACCAATTTCTACTACTAGTATTTCCAGCCGCGCCCTCAAGCCTGTTAGAGGCTAGCGAATTTCCTGAATCTTGTCGAAAATCCACACGAATGCCTTGTCAAGCACCCCTTTTCATGTTTTACTTGTCTTTGCCAGGGAGGTCTAAATGAGAACCTGAGATTGTCTTTGCCAAGGACAAGTGGTGAGATGTCCTTGGGTCATATCAGTCCCCTCAAAGGCGTCGTCGTCCCCCACAAAGAAAGTGGTCAAAATTCAGTTAAACGCCGACGCTATGATCGCTAATCGTCCTCGGAAACGCGTCAGAAATTGCATTACCTTCTCCGAGAATGAGATTGAATCGAACGTTACTCAGGGCTCTTCTAGCCTCTGTCACAGGCTACTTGGTGGGCGTTTTAATGAATAAAAAAATTAATGAATGAAAACCTTAGCTGTACATATTCTATTGAGTTAAAAAGGTTGAATATACAAGTACTAGTGCGAAACCAGTGTGAATATTGTGATCTGTTTTATGTGGATTCGACTTCTTGCTTTTTTTTGCAATGATGGGACTCGCGTGTGTAAGAATAGCCCATGTTTTGTGATCTACGTTTCAATATCACGATGACGATGGACTATTCACCAATCACTACGGGCCTTCTGAAGGCTTTTTGCTATCAAAAAACGGTTATCCTTTAGAGTAAGCAGCAGTGATATACATAAGAAACATTAGTACGGGTATATAGGACTCTCCGTCAAGTGGCTGGTATGGAGACTAGTGTTTCTGCATGCCAGTCTGTTGTAGTAATATTCAACCCCGGAAGTCTGACAATGGATGTAACATTGAATCACAGGGACGAGGTCAGGGGTCAACCCATATCTCGTTTCTCTTTTTCTGTTTTTTTTTTTTTATTAACTTAAAGAGCTTGCGTAGTGAGTCTTGCGTGGGGCAAGTTGTTCTTTAAAATTTTACAACTTTCTTCCGCAAATGTGGCAATTTTGGGCCCCTGAACTGGTTGGAAGTTTGTTGCACGTCTTAAAGTGTGGCCAGGTGTGCTATAGCCAGGTGTGTCGGAACGTCCCGTACCTGCGTGACGCGACCCCTCCCGGTTTTACCTGTATTTCCACCTGCATGCACTGAGATACCCCCAGGCGGTATTGCACTGTTTGGGTGCTCCAGAGGCTCTCTATGGGGGTTTTCCTCTACCCTTAAAAGATCATTTCAAGACATCTTCCGTCACGCAAACACATTCGCATTCCCTGGTATTTTTTACTACATCGGCTAATATTTCCTCTCAGTTAAAGTGCCAACAATTAGGATGTTTTTTTCTGATATACAATTGGTGACAAACCCCATATTGACCCACCAACGACCCTACCTTGCTTCCTGTCAGACGTTACACCGGACATATTCTCATTTGCCAAAACAGATGCGAAGGATATTAGAAAATTAGCCAAATTCTACACCAACGGCAGCTATGGAGCGTCTTTCGAGGTTATTTTCAGGTGCCAGAGGGTCTCTGAGACCTCGCGACGTCCTGTGTTTATGTGTTCTGCTATGTCTACAAGGTGTGACATGTTTCAACGTCGACACTGGAGATTCTACGTCCCGAATTCTTACATCGGACACGGGCAGTCTTTTCGGGTTCTCCCTGGACTTTCACACCGACGGTGGAAACACCTGGTGAGTACATCGAGTTATACGACTGACATACATGTCTTGTACTGTATACGACGCGTATACACTCCAATATAAGCCCCGTATAATATGTTGAAGACAGGTCTGGCACAGCTGGGTAACAAACAATTACAGTGATGATAGTCTCAAAAACAATGTCCGGTTTTCGTTTCAAAATGACGATTTTTTCTTCTGATAACTTCCGATGGTCTGATAACGATGATTCATTAAAAAGACAGCAATCAGAAAACGCGAATTAATTAGCAAAAAAATGAAGGCACGGCTTATGCAATGTATGTACTACATTCCTACAACACATTATAGTAATCCCTCTTATCGATTGACTTTATCCACACGGCGCCTACTGTAGTGACTGCCTGGTTTTCACTCGCGTAATTTGGCACCGAAACACGGTTAACGGATACTTTGGTACTAACATTTAGATATCATAATACTTTATTGTAGACAATGAGTAAGGTGGACCAAAAACAAGGAAAATTGTGTATTCATGCGTGCATACGACCTATACAGGGCGACCGACCTTTCTGCAAAACAGGCCCGAAATATTGAATGAAAAGAAGGCGTGTCAATTTGGTAGACCTTCTGGAAACAACAGATATGATGCAATATTGAGTCGGAATGTCCGCTGCCAAAATTAGCTACAACTTCAAATCCTAATTCGATTATTCTAACTAAAAGCATCCGTTCCGAGAAGGAAAAGATACAAGCGTCAGCGAGTCTTTCTGTTTATACTACAAGCAACCTGCACATACCACGCAAATGGACTCTTTTGTTACATCGACTCATTTCTAAAAACGGACGGTTATGACAGCAAAAACACACAAGAAAACGTCTGTGTTCGCCACAAGAACAATTTCTACATAACCGCATCGGCAACGCATTTTAACAACCCATTAAGCATGCCCTCTGACACGGAAATGTTATCATGTTGATACGTTAACTTGTCATACTAGGCTGACCCCCAAAAGATATCTTGTTCAAAAGACTCCCCATGTATGTATCAATAATAGATAAGGCATGTATAATTAACGAGGAGAAACAGTCGCAGAGAGGGTAATGCTTACCGATCGCAGTGATATTATTTGGCGTTCCAACGACAGGCACTTAGCCTAATGTTTCCAAAGGTGTAATTATGTAAAACACTCGCTCAACAAGTGGGCGTCTGTCTAGTTCCACTTCTTCTATTTGTATCGTGGTTTGCGAAGAAATTGAATATAACAAAATATACACATTGTGCTTTTACTCATATATCTATATTGATGCATATGCGTTACTGATACTAGTGTATCATACACATCTAACGTAAGCAGTAGTAAGTGGCAAAATTACGGAGATAAGTCTAATATCTATTCTTGCACCTTTTGTGTATGCCGTAACTATAGCTATCGTATTGGGATATTGTAACTAATTAAACAACCAACTAGCCCAAAACAAGTAGAAAACATTCCTTAACATGCTTACTTACAACCGAATACAGAAAGAAAACACCGACACCAAAAAAATCGTAGCTGTCTGGTATTTCGTGGAACCCACAACAAACGATACTACAGGCGCGTACATGTGTTAACAGTGGGAACATGTGGTGTGGTTACATTCACAACACACAGACAAAAGATGGCGTGACACGGTACTAACACTAACGGTGGTCTAGGGTCAGTCTGGATCTCATTCAGTAGAGCAGTGCAGCACGCAAACTATGCTGGTATGGCGGCTGGTTATATTGACTTGCCATAGCTAGCTTCAAGCTTGATTCAAACTGTCTAAAAGGCCCCAGTACACTTACGGAATCGAAAAAATGTAGAGGTCTATTCCTGTGTAAGTGGATCAAGCAAAACCAGTTACAGTCCGGTGTTATATATATACACAGCGTACACTACAACCTGGCCTGTTACATCTGTATCTGTATCTGTATAGCTGGTATAACCGCCTTTCGGCGTAACACACCAGCTTCGCAGGCACGCGCGCGGCACGGCGGCAGCTGGCTATCTGACGGCGGTTTGCTACCAACCCAACAACCCAAACTTGTGAGGTTTCAAGAGGCTTAGAATGTATATACAAACGCAGAATTTTAACCTTACACACAAAGACAGTTGAAGGTAAAGATTCCATCTTGAACACAGGTTGTTATCGGGCGCGCCACGTGCCAACACTAGCCAACCGGGGGTGGTGCGGGGAGGGGCCGTGCTCCGCTGTGAGGTGGACCCGGCCCAGCCCGACTCCTGTACCGAGATCTCCTTCGACTCAACAGGTATGATAACTACAGATCTAACCTTTACGAAACTTCCTTTAATGCTCGATGGTTAGAAATGGAGATATTTACCTTTTCTTTTGGTGTATTTTCTTGTGAAGTGTATCCGCCACAGGCTATTTCTTGTATAGTGCATAGATTGCATTCGATTCAACAGGTAAAACATCAGCCCAAAACTAAAGAAACATATTGCAATTTACCAATAGTGTCTTTGTTTAATATTCTTTTCAATCGTAAACCCACAGAAGCGCCGAATAGATGTTGTACTTGTAAACGTCAATCTGTCCCCGTCCTTGGTGCTGAACCTTCTCACACTCTCACACTGTAGGGCTAAAATGCGCAGCGGAGTAAAAAAAAAAAGACCACCTTTTCTTCAGTAACTCTTGAATCAGTACATATACTGTCCTATACTTTACTGTACTTTTTTTAAAGATATATAACTTTCTGAAATTGATACTGTAGGTTCGTGTCTCTTATTGCAGCTAACTTTTTCTCCTGTCTCCTTTAACAGGCCCGCAGACGGTCGACGGTTTCCAGGACCAAAAGTCGGACCAGTGGTTCGGCTTTTCCGTCAAGAGCGCCTCTCCTGCCAAGGATGTGGTCGCTGTAAGAGTGGTTTAACCTTTAACACAATGGAATAGCCGTTTGGCTACCAATGCTCCATTGATTACATGGTTATGTAGCAGGGAGAAGGAGAAGGTTAACTTATTTGTGGTGGTCTAATCCGACTCTAGGTCTATAATTTTATGTTCTCAATGCTTAACATAAGACAAGCCGATTTTTTCTGAACACCAGATATGTGCACCTTTGTATGTGTTTCGCGTTTCGGATACGTATCCTTGATTGTCAAACTAACTTTATTCAGCGTACTTAACTCGATTTTTGTCTGCTCCCCAGGCCTGTGCACCCCTATACGTGTTCTACTCCCAAACCAACCACACACGTGACCCTGTTGGCAACTGTTTCCTGGCAACCAACGGGATGACAACGTTCAACAACTACTCTCCCTGCAGAGGTTAGTTTTGCCCAAGCACTTAAACATAAAGTTTTAACATGTAGTTCTTTTTTATTGTAGCAAAAAGTCATATAGAAAAAATAAGAACAATCTATCGCCTTACAACTCTGATTTGGATGTTAACTCTAAATCTTGGCATAACACTAAGAAGTCAAACAATAAATAATAGTCTAAATCTTAATGTGTTGGGTTTGACTTCTTGGATACAATCAAGGACATAAAACAGATCAAGCTTGTCCCCTTTCCCCAAACACATCAACAGAATTGTCCACTGCCCCATAGCGCTACATGTAGTGGGTCATCAGGTCAAGGAATAGTCTCACCTTTGACCTGGCCCTCTGAGGTACCCCAACATGTGATTGTTTCGTGTGTATTCCCAGCCCTAGATGCTCGTGCACTCAATGACAGGACGCATCATGGACAGTGTGAGAGTGGCTTCAGTCTAGACTTCAGCAAGGTACACATTTCTTAAACCATTACATAGGTATTTGGAACATTTTCTTCTGTAACATGGTAGCTATTAGCCGCGGCGACTGTTGCAGGGCTTCTCTTGCTTGCAGTCTTTTACATTAGCCCTAACAACAGGGCTAATGTAAAAGACTGCAACTTTAGTGCAAGCAAGAGAAGCCCTGCAACAGTCGCCGAGGCTAGGTAGCGTTTACTGATAGAATCTATCCATCCATATATTATATTGTCATCTGCAAATTAACACTACGGTACTTCCACCTTATTATTAGTGTTTTCTACTTGTTTGTTGATAATTGCAGGACTCAGAAGAAGTGTTGGTGGGTGCAGTGGGGGACCAGTACTGGACTGGTAAGTGCACTAGGATTTTTGGCGACACCACAGGAGTGGTGCCAGTAGTACTGTAACTTAAATACATTTCCTGTTAGTAACAAGTGACTTGGTTTTTGGATAGGGTTGGATTATGGTCAAAAATGATGAAGGACTTTGGAAACTACCGGTACATGCATGTTGTCAACTGCTTTCCTTCCATCACATTTCAGGTACATTGTACACCCTGGACCTCGAAAAAACTAGTGACCCCTATAATAATCACATGTACTCAGCACTACCACGCACCAATGAAGATGACTTTCATCTTGGTAAGTTGTTCTATTACTCATGATTTCAATAAATGACTTCACAGTGCTATTGGTGAATGACAGCCTCTGCTATAAAGTAGGACTCTCTAGTATATAAATAAAAAAGTAAGTATTGCATAGGTCTTGAAACTGATTGTTTCATTTTGTCCCTACTTCAGCCTACTCAGTAGCATCTGGTGAATTCACAGGAGATGGAAACCCAGGTGAGAAACTGAGCCATTTTCAATACAGTTTGTGTTACTTAAACCTTCAGCAGACTAAATAGTCCTTTGGCTAGCAGCTTTCTTCGGAGTTACAGGGTTAGGCAGCAGGGAGAGGGGTTAGTACATTTATGGGGAAATCAGACTGTGAGAGAGAGAGAGAGAGAGAGAGAGAGAGAGAGAGGAGAGAGAGAGAGAGGGAAGGGGAGAGAAAGATGGTTAAGGGAGGACATGAGAGAAGGTACAGGAGAGAGAGGGGACAAGAAGAGAAGAGGAGAGAGATATGGATTTAGATACTCCAACAATCCATAATTGCTCAATCTATGTTCTATTTCAGACTATGTGGTTGGTGTGCCAAGAGCAGGGGGAGATCCAACAACAGAAAATCCTAACTTTGTGTCGGGGCAGGTAGGAACGAATTATCATTTTCAAACATTTCTGAAACCGGTTTGGGAAAAATGACGTTAAATTCGGTTAAAAAAAATATTGATAATCTAGAAAAATATAAGTTTAAATGTTGGGGATATTTAGATGATGAATTTTTATGTACAATTCAAAACTCAAAGTAACCAGACTTTAATACAATATGTTGTTGTGCAAAGTGATGTTGCAGATTGACATTTTGAAAACGTGACATGTTTTTTTCACAGGTGAGAATTTTGTCCAAGGGACCAGGAAGACGTTTAGAAACCCTGACAACTGATCCAGCTGCTCTGGAAAGTAACCAGGTAAATTTCTGTCTCATTCATACCTCATAATCACAATAAATAAGTAACATCTGTGTCCATAATATCACCAGGGTCCATAATATCGCCACCTTGAGAAACAGCGTGCTTAAAGATATTTTTACTGCAACATACTTTGGTATGCAGTCCTGCACACCTCAAATGTACATACCTAGGGCATGTTGCAGTAAAACTATCTTAAAGCACACTGTTTCTCAAGGTGGCGATATTATGGACCCTGGTGATATTATGGACACAGATGTTACAAAGGACTGTCTGGAAATTTGTGTTTTGGTATGATTGTATTTAGATGCATTATACTTACTTAACTTGTGGAATTTCATTTCAGTTTGGGTCAAACTTTGGATACTCTGTGATTGTACAAGATGTAAACAATGACGGGTAAGTCACTGCCTTCTTTTCAGCTAAAGGACAAAATGTTAGTGCTTTTTTTTCAAAATCCCAAGTGAATATGATTACATCTCTTGCTTTTGAATATAGGGAAATCACAAACATACCATTAAACAAATAAAGGTGTAACAGTGGGGGGTTTATAGGCACTACCAACTGACCCGTCCAATGGGGTCTAGACCTTTTAGCGGAGCGGTTAGAGCGGCTGGCTATGAAGCTCTGGTGCCCGGGAGGTCGTGGGTTCGAACCCCGGCCCGGGACCAGAAGGGTTTTTACTGGCTCCTCCTTGTTTCTTACAAAGGCACCAGAAAGATTGTCCTGCTGTGTAATGACTCATTGTTTCCTGTGCACCAGACTTGATGACATCATGACAGGAGCACCCATGTACAGTAGTGAGGGCTTCCAGCATGTTGACTTGGGTGCAGTTTACATCTATCTACTCACACAAGCAGCTCAGACAGTAAGGAGTTTATTTACAAGATTATTTACTAAGACTGTCACTCATCATTATCAAAGATGATAAAAATGTCAAGACCTAGACACAGTAAATGTTAAACAGGTTGTGGCCAAGCTTCTTTACTTCTACTAAAACTGTAAGCTGACAAAAATGTTTTGAAAACTGTAAAAACTAGGAGACATAATAGGTAACTGTGTGGCACATGGGCTAAGGAAATGGAGATAGTACCACCAAGTGCATTATATAGCTTTTATTCTGTTTTCTAAACTTTTGATATTGTTTTCTCCACAGCCAACTTTCAGTGCACCTACCGTACTTATGGGGAAGTCTGCAAAAGGACGCTTTGGAACAGCCCTCGCTGCCCTGGGTGACATCAACCAAGATGGATTCAATGGTAAACTTAAGAATATTTTTTAACAGAGAGGCCAAGAACACAGTGTGCCTAATACCTAACAACTACACAAAGAGTTCTCAGTCTGACATGTTTTCAAATCCAGACTGGCCATAGATTTGTACAGAATGAGACTGACAATATCTGAAAAAAAATTGAATCTCAAATCATCCTTTGCTGTCCACAGACATCGCTGTAGGAGCCCCGTATGAAGGGTTGGATGCTGGCAGTAACTGGGGAGTCGTTTACATCTATCATGGGTCAGCCAACGGCATCAGGGCTGAGAAACCTGCACAAGTAAGGCTAAAAAACTACAGGATAGAAGAACCAATAGGAAAGAAAACTCAATGGAAAATGGATCAATGAAAACCCCAAGGAAGGGGGAAAGAAAAAAAAGAACTTGTATGTGATTTCCTAGGAGGAAAGTTGAATAAAATGGTTACCCAGTAACAATTGTTTGCTGCACAACCAGAGGATAGTATTTCAGCACCAAGGAAAGTGAACTTGATAGAATGCTGCTGGTTGTTCATTTTTGGTACATGCGTAGCTTAGGGCAGCAACGGAAGAATTTCATGACTATAGAACAATTGATAAATCATTTTGGTACTACAAACAAACAACCCCCCTGTCTTATCCTGGCAGGTTCTGAGGGCCTCAGACTTTTCAACTGACTTGAAGGCCTTTGGCTTTTCTCTGGCTGGAGGCGTGGACGTTGATGGTAACCAGTATCCAGGTGGGTAATGTTACTTATTAATATTAAGTGACTTTTAATTGATTAGTTAATTCATGTTCTATGCTACCAGTGTCAAGAGACTTTTAGGAACTTGTATTTCCCCAAAACTATCGTAGACTGGAACTTGCTGCCACCAACCACAGTAGGGGCATCATCACTAGAAAGCTTTAAACAACTCCTGCAATCAAATGTGCAAAGATTGAGTGTAATAAGTCGTTCGGTGTGATATAGCTAGCTGCCGACGCGCCTCGTGCCTGCGAAGCTGGTGTGTTACGCCGAAGGGTGGTTATACCGGCTATACAGATACAGATACAGATACAGGAACTACAAAATGTACATCATTAACTACACCTTCTTTGTTTCAGACATGGCTATTGGTTCATACCTAACAGACAGAGCTGTTGTTCTGAGGTGAGTGTTTGATGTGTAAAGAGTTTCCATCTATCTACAAATCACTCCACTTTCAATTTTTCTTAGTTCTGCAAAAGAACACAGACAGTGTTTTTCAGATATACTGAATCTAAACTGGAAAAGACAAAGACATTACTGCATGGTATGCAAAGAGATCTGATGTACAGTTGCACTGTAGATATTAGCAGTGTTAATAATCTTCTATGTGCCATTGGGTTATTGCGGTGCCACTCACCACAAACTCATCAAACCCGAGAACATTTGTCCTGCCTTCCATTGTATTGCTACCATGGTTTCAACCACACACTCAAAGATACTAGAAACTCACAATTCTCACTGTGACATGAGGTTTTTTATGAGATACTAACTGAAATTGATTCATGGTGTTGTTTTCTCCTAACATTTTTCTCAGGTCCAGACCAATTGTAAACATGGCTCCGAACCGCCAGGTCCTAACAGTGACGCCTGAACTGATCAACTTGGAGAGTAAGGCTTGCACTAAGGACGGGGTCAACGTTACATGGTACGGATAGTTACTGGAGCTGATATGTATGATATATTGTATAATGTTGATATCAGGGTAGAGCTTCACTGCTATCCTAATCTCAAAGCAGATCCATAGGTGGCAAAATGGTAACTTTCTGGCAAATGGATACAGCCTGGCCAATTTGATACTGTCTTTGCAGCCACCAAAAGATCTGTTTGGAGATTATGCTATCCAAGGAGCATGTATTGGAGAGGTTTGAAAATGAAATATAGTACACTGCATGGGCCAGGAAGATAGCAGAAAAGGATGATTTCCACTTGATCCATGTTTTTGTTCATAATTACCATCCCAAGTATGCTTGCATAGGTGAGCAATTATTTCACTACTTCAAGAGGGCAAATCAAATGTCATCTCCACTCTTAACTGATACAAGTTATAAACAGTACTGAAAATTATCTCTTTGTTGACTTCTTATTCTTAGAATAAGATCAAACATATGTTTTTTTTCAGTTTTGATGTGTTAGTGTGCTTCACCTATGATGGAGTCAATGTGCCAGACCAAATAAGTAAGTAGCTTTTCTAACACAAACTATCCTAGTGTTCAAGGCATTATTCTGATCATAGACAGCTTAATATGAAAACTGTAGGTTGTGTTGTGCCCTAAAAGTTTGTCGCAATCATGAGATGGCACATCAGCACCATGGAGAGTGAAGATGGTAGGAAATGTAATGGAAGGGTGGATTGTGTTATCCCTTGTTACTTCCGAGATGGAAGTATTGTTTTGGGTGGTGCTAATATATGGTTGGTTTGCATGTTTGGATTCCAAATTATTGACTTGGTAGACATTGGGTGTGACAGGGTTTTACCCGATATTCCCTAGGTCCAAGAATAATAGCGAAGAAAGTTTCATCATACAATCAAATGAGTCATAATGCATTCTTTCATGTACATGTAATTCATTAACTAATGGAAACTACATCTACTCCCCCAAAGGCCAAAATTTGTTATCATTGTTGTTCCCCAGATGTGGATGTAGAGATAGCCCTGGATGTTCAGCAGACCGTGAAGCGTGCCGTGTTCCAGAGCAACAACATGGCCGTTGAGCGTTTCTCTGGTTACATGGTCGACAAAGGCTCCTCCTGCTCTCTCATTCAGGAGAAAGGTCTGATACAGGTAGGTGTGGAGTTATCTTCTGGCAGAGTCTCAGGCCAATAAATGTAGTGTGTGGAAGTGGTGCTGCCCCTCTGTAGATCAAAAGGGGAGTGTCTGAATCCATTTTATGCTGTTCACATGACAGCTACTCTCCTGGACTATCACATTACAAAGGTCTTGATAACACCGTCTTTTAATGTGGCAGTGGCAAAGTTATGAAAATTGATGCAATAGCATGCTATAAGAAACTTCTTCATGGGTCAGAGTTACTGTTAGCTATGGTCAACTATTCATTGCACTTGTCAAAAAAATCTAAGGGAATTGAACTCCATCTGTGTTTGTTTCTTTGATTATATTCAACATAATCAGACAAGCTGAAGGTTAGTTAGAATGAAGTATTTCTTAACATTTTTTTTCTTTTTAATTTGCTTGTTTGTTTGTTTGTTTGTTTGAAACAGAATGACATCCAGGACAAGCTGAACCCCATTGTAGTGCGAGTGAAGTACAGCCTGACTGCACCCACAAGTGCACAGGTGGGCCAGCTCACTCCGGTGCTGAACAACAACAAACCCAGCTTGGAAACACAACAGGTTCGTATGACTTACATTTCATTTTCATTTTTATTTATTTATCCAGGGGTAACATATCGCCAATGGCGGTTTTCAATGCTCCCTGCACAGAGCAATACATAATATGATAACAGAAAAAGTAAAAGAACTAACTTAGGTACGATCATAATCGTCTTGATAATAAAAGAAACAGGACAAATTAATAACGTACAGAAAACAAACTAAATAAATATGACAAATGATGACATACGTACACACCAATTTGATTTCTTGGTTTTTGGACATGTCAATTATTTTCTACTTGAGAAAATAATGTATCATTCAGGAAATGAATCAAACCCCAAATGCTGATATTTTTCAGGTCAGCATCCTTAAGGATTGCGGTCCCGACGACAAGTGTGTTCCAGACTTGAAGATTGTATCAGTATCAGCGTAAGTTCCTTAAAAAAATCTGTAATTCCTTTTTTTAAGAGCAAGAAAAAATGCTTTCAGGCTGACATTTTCTTGAACTTAGACTGCACAAATGTCTAAGCCTTGCAAGATGGCAGGAACAAAGCACAAAAACAGGGATGGTGAATGATTATGCGTGTGGGAGTGAATGTGTGCAAGTATGTGTGAGGGTAAACTCTCTACAATTGGATAAAAGAGTAAAAAATGTCTTTGATGCTACAGAAGAGTGCTGAATGCCACTCGAAACATCTGGGATCTAATCCAAGGTTCTTACCTCTCTCTCAGCACGCCCGAGTCTGGTGTGTATGTGGGGGACCTGGACACAGAGCTGGTAGTGACTGCAGAGGTGGAGAATGTGGGGGAAGGTGCGTACGTGTCAACACTGTCGCTGTCACCTCCCTCTGGAGTGGACTACATCGGTGGGGACATCACACTGGCGGTAAGGCCAATACAATCTGTTTTGTAGCTCATAAGCTGACAAAAATACAGTGTTACCAATTACAAAACAATGCAAGCAATTATTCTGTCATGAAAGTCAGCCTTGGTAACTTTTCTTTCAACACAAAGAATTGTTCTCACCTAGAGCTTTTGACTTTTCTTTTGAGTTTGCAGTTGTACTAGTAACTAACTGCAATGCAAGACACTCAGAGCATGATGTATATTATACATGGAAGACTACTGTGAAAATTTAACAATTGAGAGATTCTCACAAACCAGTTCCAAACATTTTTTTTACCTCAGACTCACACAGGAAGCAGTAACTGTGACCTTCTGGAGGTCGATGGCAGCAAGGTCGTGCAGTGTCCTCTGGGAAATCCATTTCAAGGTCGTGCGACAGCCATGCTGCGTTTTTCCACCCTGTCACTTGTAGGGGCAGACGACAGTCTCACCTTCCTGTTCTATGCTAACAGGTAGGTTGTGTGATTGTAAGGAAAATATTATTCTGTTGGGGATAGAGATGTGGAGGAAGTATTGGTTTGGGTGGCTGAGTTGTACTGTTGTGGGTTTGTGTCTCAGCTTGTCCTTAAATAGCATGGTGGATGAGAGGTGACTGTGACAGTTGATTGATAGGGAGGTCTTGCCTGAAAATGCTAAATTTTCCCGGAGGTTGCACATTCTTGCAGAAGATAGGGATATAAGATATCCTAAACAAAAACATCATTAGATATTTAGCAAATTTCTAGCTGTGATCAATAATTTTTTTGTGCCATTTCAGCACGAATGATGAGGATGTTGCGACACTGGCAGACAACACCAAGGAGCTGGCCGTACCAGTCAAAGTCAAGGCTGGGGTCTCCCTACTGGGGTGAGTTTCCAAATTTGATAATTATCAAAAGTACTCTTTGCATGAGAGGTAGGAGCTGCAAGCAACATTGATATCTTTGTAGACAGTAAACCGATAAAGGGGGTAAAATACCCTGGTATGTTCAGAAATGACACACCCTGTGTTCTGATATCCCAAAGCTTGAACGACACTAATCCTATTCCCTACTGACTGAATGCAGGGGTGTGACTGTGTCTGAACATAGGGGTATTGGAACATAAACATTAGGGCTATCTCCATACAACTTGTGTTACAGCATTACTTGTATGTCAGGTTAGAGTGTGATGATTTCTTGTTACTGCTTCCCCAGAGCATCCATCCCTGAACAGGTGGTGTTCACCAAGAGAACAGACAGGCCCAACCCCATCACCAAACAGGTTGATGTCGGGCCGGAGGTCACACACAACTATGAGGTCAGTACTGCCTTTTCTTCTCACTTTCTCTCTTGCTTCCTTTCTTCCTTCCTTCTTCTATGCACTTTTGTCATTCAATCCCTCCTATTATTGCTCTGTTTATTCCAGACTTCACTTTTCCTCATTTCCTTTTTTACCATCCCTCCTTTTTCTTGAAACTGTAACTTCCTTCATCATCTGCTTCCTTCTATCCATCCTTTCTTCCTTCAAGCAATCCTTATAAGTGGAAAAAGCATGGTAATTTCCTGATACATTGAAGCTGTATTTACATTAATCATACACACATGACATTTGTCTTACATTTTGCGACTTCTGTTCCGCAGATCAGGAACAGTGGTCCCAGTGACATTGGAAGTGCCAAACTGACCATCATGTGGCCCTCGAGACAGAAAGATTCGGACATCCTGGACAACGCCTACATCCTGTACCTTCTGGACGCAAGTGTGACCCAGGGTCAGGGCCAATGTGAGGTCAAGGGGTCAGGGGTCAACCCTGGGGGTCTGGTAAATATTTTATTTTACTTTATTTTGTGTGAATTCACTTTCCAAGCAATATTGATTATTGAGACCCTCTCCCTCTGCATTCACATAAAAGTAAGATCGCCAGAACAGCAAGAAAGTAACAATAATGACGTGAAAAGGATCAAATAAAATAATGGTGTAGCTTGCAGCTGGTGTACAACAAGATTGCAAGTCAATCCACTAAAGCAACCTGTCTGTCTCAGAGGTAAACTAGTCTTGTACACTGACATATAATTATGTTGGCCTTTGTGTGGATAGTGTTTCGCACTAAGGACAGGCATGTTTGTATGTATGTGTGTGGATGGTGTTCAGCACTAAGGACAGGCATGTTTGTATGTGTGTGGATGGTGTTCAGCACCAAGGACAGGCATGTTTGTATGTGTGTGGATGGCGTTCAGCACCAAGGACAGGCATGTTTGTCTGTGTGTGGATGGTGTTCAGCACCAAGGACAGGCAGGTTTGTATGTGTGTGGATGGTGTTCAGCACCAAGGACAGGTACACACTTTGTGTGGATGGTGTTCAGCACCAAGGACAGGCAGGTTTGTCTGTGTGTGGATGGTGTTCAGCACCAAGGACAGGCATGTTTGTCTGTGTGTGGATGGTGTTCAGCACCAAGGACAGGCATGTTTGCCTGTGTGTGGATGGTGTTCAGCACCAAGGACAGGCATGTTTGTATGTGTGTGGATGGTGTTCAACACCAAGGACAGGCATGTTTGTATGTATGTGTGTGGATGGTGTTCAGTACTAAGGACAGACATGTTTGTATGTGTGTGGATGGTGTTCAGCACCAAGGACGGGCATGTTTGTCTGTGTGTGGATGGTGTTCAGCACCAAGGACGGGCATGTTTGTCTGTGTGTGGATTGTGTTCAGCACCAAGGACAGGCATGTTTGTATGTATGTGTGTGAATGGTGTTCAGCACCAAGGACAGGCAGGTTTGAATGTGTGTGGATGGTGTTCAGCATCAAGGACAGGCATGTTTATATGTGTGTGGATGGTGTTCAGCACCAAGGACAGGCATGTTTGTATGTGTGTGGATGGTGTTCAGCACCAAGGACAGGCATGTTTGTATGTGTGTGGATGGTGTTCAGCACCAAGGACAGGCATACATAGACATACCTTGTGTTCAGACCCTATAAAAGTCTAAACACTGTGCTATCTAATACAGGAGGCTCCCTCCACTTCTGAGACGACCACCTCAGCCTCCAGACGCCGGAGACAAGCGGAGACAGATGAAGGTGCAGATGATGGGAGCGTCACAGATGCTGAGAAACAAACAGCACAGGCCACTACCCTGGTCAGTACTCATGGCTATATTCCATCATCATAGTTAACCCTCATATGACCCCATCAGGGGTAAGGGGAGAGTTGAGGTCCCAGGCTAGTACGGCAGACCTCCAGCCTTGCAGGGAACGACTCAACAGTGGGAGCCCTCACAACAGTGCCAGGCAGGGCATTCCACTGGGGAATTGTACGGGGCGACAAGGAGTATTTTGCATATATATGTCTGTCCTTAGAATTTGAGGTGGTGGCTTCCCCAAGTGTGCCACTAGGCTGGTTTAAGTAGAGTGTCAGTAACTTGTCAACTTTGATTACTAATGGAAGAAAATGCCACATGATTGAGTGATGAAAGTAAAAGAAAAGCTATGAAACTCAGCCAGCTGCGGCTGAAGAAAGTTTGTTTCATGTGTAGAAAGAACTTTACTAATTAAGATAACTTGATGCTATGTTGATTCTTCCCCAGGACTGCTCGAATACCGACTGTGTGGAGATAGAGTGCACGATCGGTGGACTGAGTCTGGGCAGTGCTGTGGTGCAGGTCAGGGCTCGACTGTGGGAGAAAACACTACTGGATGTGAGTACATACATTACATTTATCTGCCCAGTTTTATATATCCTTCACTGTGAAAGACAATGTTTTTTAGCAGTCTCCAGTGACTAAGTGCAACAGCCCCTAGGTATGCAATGATAGCAGCTGGTACATGACCAGTCCTGTCTAATGCACATGGTCCATGCATTTGATTTTGTCATCAGATTTTTGTCAGAAACAAACTTTCTTCATGCTCAGATTAGTCTTGCGACCAAAGTTGAATTAAGTCTTTCATCACAGCAGAAGTCAGCAGCTAACAGCAAACTGTATATACATGTGCTGGTAGTTGAAAAGGTTAAGCTTGGGGTAGTATGCAAGACTGAGGCAACAGAAAATTGAGTGCCTGATTTACACCAGGCCTATGATTAATATTTTTGCCCCCCCCCCAGGCAGGGTACCAGGAGACGAGAATAGAGACCACAGCAAACCTGGAGGTGGTGCAGCTGCTCCCAGCATCCCTCGCAGCTGACTCACTTCCCTCTGCTACACACAAGGTACAGCACAGGGGTAACATCCATTTCACTATGACAAACATAATTTGTACCCACACCACAACTTAAGGTGTGATTCTTTTACATTTAGTGCCCCATTTTTACCCCAGTTCTGTCTTTCCTGAGTAACACATCATTACTGTGGCCTACACCGGTTGTTGGTTTAAATACAGAAACATACACATGTACATGAAACACACACACATACACTAGGCGTTCAGCACCAAGGACAGATGCACATACCTTTAGAAATGTGGCCTCCACTGTATGTTGACTCAAATACACATAACACACTAATGCACAAACACACCCACAACTGCTTGTCATGTCCCACCAGGTGACCACCACAGCCAACCCGGAGACGGTCAGCGTGACGTCCAGCTCTATCCCCATCTGGATCATCGCAGCGGCCGCAGCGGGAGGGCTGCTGCTCCTCATCCTCATCATCCTCATCATGTTCAAGGTTTGTTGGTCAATTCCATCTTCTCAAAGACAACATAACACAGAAAAAAATAGAAAGGTAACATTTGAAAAGCAAATGTAACACAGAAAAGACTAGAATTTATAGAAAGGTAACATTTGCAAAGCAAATGCATAATGTTTACCTTTGCATACGGTCTGCTCTGACTGTTAATTATTACTCAAACAAATTCATATATATGGTGACAGGAGTCTAAATCCCTCCTGCTATAAAATTGCAACATGATGTAACTCTAACTCTAAGTCTAAATCCAAAAAAGCCTGCCAAGTCCATAGTTTTGAAGATATTGTCACACGCACAAAAATTAATTGTTGTTTATGGCCTTCTGTGTGCCTTAGTATACCATCAATGACATGTAAATTGACAAGTGTTGTTGTTCTCCTTCCAGTGTGGTTTCTTTAAGAGGAAGATGCCAACTGAGTATCAAGCAGTCAAGCAAGAGACAGCTGCCAAGAGACACAGCAAAGACTTTGAAGATGCTTAAGTTTATACAGATGCGACGTAATGCCGCACTTTATGGATGATGCCAAATATTCTGCAGAAATACAAAAAATGTTTTGCTTTTTTTGCTATAGAACTCTAGCTCTGAATGTTTTACAATAATTTCATGACTATTGCATGATATCGTATGGCCAAGTGACATTGACCAATGAGAATGCTTCATTTTGCTGTAACCAGCTGTCATTATTACTCTTTGCTAACCAGTTGTGAATTCTCTGCATAAATCCAACATGATGCCCAAGCAGTCTGTGACTTTCAGAAGTGATTTTTGCATTAAATAAACACTGTCATACACTTAACTGTAGGTAAGCCACATGTAACTAAGCAAGAAATCATAAAAGTTCCAATAAAGACATTTCCTGAAAAATTACAGATACCTTTACACTGCTTTTAATAAAAATGAGGATGCAAAGACTATGTTCTGATATTATTCTGAATCAACATAGGAATATTAAGTTTCCAAATCTTTTCCCATAGAAAAGTGACAACAATCTTACCTTTGAATGATGTTTAATATATATGTGTGTCTAATACTGCATGTTGATGGATACTCGATCTATCTATAATAATGATTCCTCAAGGTTGTCACCAAAGTCCTAAACTTTCCATCTATTTGTGCCCAGACTACTTGCAGAATCCTTCACATAAGAATCTTGCCACAATAACGTAAAATAAAAACATTTTTGGAGGCATTTTGAAGACTTTAAGGGTATAAACCATTATGAAAGCTCCCTGCTACAGAGAGAGGATACAGAAATTCAAATCATGACCTCAGTAACCACCAACGCATTTAATTAAAGTTCAGGATATCACAATTGGTGCCATAATTGTTCCAAGGAGCTTCAATTCAAAGTCTCTTCTGTGAATCGTTAAAGTGCAAAACAAAATGCACTAAAAAGGCACACTACGATGTAGCAAATTAGCGTAAAACAATGACGGAGCCTACCTTACATCTGCTTGGAGATTGATATAGCCACCTGGCAGGTTTACCTAAAACTGCAGGCCACAGAACCTAGGTGTGGGTAGCATCCAAACAGTATGTAGGTATTTAATTCACAGGATTCGCAAGTTTTGTCGTTATGAATTCATGATTTTTGAATAAACAATTTTACATTGTCTATTTCTCTCTCGTGTTTATTGATTCTGAGCATAGTTTGGTTCAAGATTGCTATTTGCTTTGCGTGTGGATGCTGTCATGGTGAGAAAGGCGTGATTCGGGCGTTCTTCCCTGATTTCCTATTTCAAAACCAAACTTTCCTGCATATTCTCTCCTTAGTAGCAACTAAAGGCGATAGGAAATCATGTCAGGAGCACCTAACAGTTCGTCGGACCCAAGAAGACCCAACAAAGTGGCCAGGTGAGGCCGTAGGATTATGTTTAGCTTGATGTGCATGTGGGGAGGGGGGCAGGCTTTAAAAATATTTATCATTTTATGAGTAAGTTGTAACGTTATACACATTCATATGTTTACAGTCTTCATCATATTTGTGGTTCTACCTCACTAGTACAAATTTTGCAGGGGTTCAAAATCTTCAAATTAAATTTCAGAAGGGTAGAGCCTAGAGGTAAGATAATCCTCATTTTGGGAAATTATAAATTGAATTTCACTTGTGATTTTTATTACCAATATTTTTCTAATGAACTTATGTCTGTTTTGTATACAGAACCTTATTCCCGGAGTGATAATGATGTTTGTTTGTTTGTTTATATTTTGTGTAGGTACAAGCCCCCATCCCAGGAGCGCCTTGACGACCCCACCCCAGACTACATGAACCTGCTGGGGATGATATTCAGCATGTGTGGACTCATGATGAAGGTACAGCTTGGTAGCCCCCGTGTCAGCCTTTTAGCTTTTGTCCGCACCCCACGATCTGTTATCGGCTAGTAGCTGTTAGCCCCAGTGTCAGCTTTTTTACCTTTCGTCCGCACCCCACAATTTGCTACCGGCTGTTAGCCTGAGTGTCAGCCTTTTTAGCTTTTGTCTGCTCCCCACGATCTGCTACTTGCCGGTAGCTGTTAGCCTGAGTGTCAGCCTTTTAGCTTTTGTCTGCTCCCCACGATCTGCTACCGGCCAGTAGCTGTTAGCCTGAGTGTCAGCTTTTTTACCTTTCGTCCGCTGCCCACGATCCACTACTGGGGGCCCACAAACCCTTTTCCATAGAGCGTAATCGACCATTTTGATTCTGCGTAGAGCGTAGACGGACCACTCTAATATTTTTGCGTAGAGTGTATTGTCGCCATTTTAATTCTACATAATGCGTTGAACTTGTAGCCACCTGGAATTTATCATAAAGTGAAATCGAGAGGTTTCCGAATTCAGTGTAGAGCGTTGTCGGGACCCGCCCTTGCAGGCCCTCATTACTGGCTGGTAGCAGACAAAAGCTAAAAAGGCTGACACTCCGGCTAACACTAACAGCTTGGTAGAAGAAACACTAAAATTTCATTATGAATGGAGTAGAGTAGAGGAGAGTAGATCAGCTAGGTAGGAAGATCTCTTCCTGTTGGGGACACTCATCCAATTACTGAACTGTCACTCCATGCTTGTGGATGCATCTATTACTGTATACCGGTATGTGTTTCAATGTTGTACAATTGAAATGTCGTTCTCAACCCTGCCTGTATGCTTGTCTGCCAGATGAAGTGGTGTGCTTGGGCTGCTGTCTACTGTGCCTTCATCAGTTTTGCCAACTCCAGGTCATCGGAGGACACCAAACAGATGCTCAGTAGTTTCATGTGAGTTGCCATGGATACTGGAATGTTTGTCTTATTATAATGATGTACAGCTAGTTTCAGACTATTGTATCATCTCTAAATACCTATCAATCATCTATCATAAGTAAAAAAATGTATCTATGCAGGGCTTGGAATTTGGAAACAGGTTCACTGCTAGTCAATTAATAGGTTGTGCTTAAAAACCTGCCTCCTCCAACTTCTGCAAGTCTCTAGTGTCACTGAAGAAAGGTAGTGAATACTACCTGAAACATCTGACCATTTCCAAAATCATATCGTTTTTTTTATATTATTATAATATTGTAATGGTGTTTTTGTCTGTTCTGCTGTAGGTTGTCCATCTCTGCAGTTGTGATGTCCTACCTACAGAATCCACAGCCCATGCAGCCTCCATGGTGACACAGGAGCAACATTGTAGAACTTTCAGTAATCTTAAACAATCAACAAAAATTTTGATAGCTTCCAACACATTTCATCCTATTACAGCTTGGCCGCATATCTTTGCAAACTTAGGACATTCTTTGGATAGTCATGAATGTGTCCTTAAAATTTCAGCTTTCTTATGGAAAAGGCTTCCTTTTAATAAATCATATCCTTGTAAGCAGTTGGTTCTGTAATAGCCAGCTTGAAAGCATTAGGTTGGAATGGAGTCATTGTACATCAACTTTTGAACTCCAAAACTACAGAATATAAACTTTCTGAAATTGCCTTTTTGTCATCCTGTAATGCATGATTTTATGATATTAGTGCTTGGTTAGTTTGTGAACCAAACTTAATTAAATACCACATACATGTATATACATACATATGTGACACAATAGACATACAAGGCATGTACAAACCTCTTTATTCAAGTCATCAGTAGAAATACTCTTTTTAGTTTACTGTGGCTGATGTTAATAAACCTTCCTCTGTAAAGTTATTTTGTCACCCTACTTTTGACTGGTAACCTCTGTAACGTTATATGGAAAATGACCAACATTGTATGATTATCATGAAAGTTCATTTGTGTTGGTAGTTGCATGTTTAAAGTTAAAATTTTTGATCCAACACAAAAAAGTTCTCTCACCTAGAGCTTTCGACCAGTCACTATTATATTATAGTCTTCCTCAGTAGACTGACCCAGTGAGACTCATATGGTTATATATGGAGTTAATGAGGAAAACATGAATTCTGTTGCAAATTTGACAGTAGTTAGATGACTGTAATTTTGTTAACGACTATTTGCTAACGAATAAATACTTTTTCCCCCCTGTCTTGATTCAGGTGTTGTGTGTGTTAGATACACAATAGAAATGTCTGCTTATTACTAGTATTCCATGAGACCTCTGCATTGTATTGGGATTGGTACATTCACAGCTGAAACTCACGATCCCTTCGTTGCATTGCTATCTAGTTTGACATGTCGTCAGCTAATATGTGCAAGATGAAGGACTTTCTTTATACCATAGTAATTTTCATAACTTATGATTTTTTAGACAACACCCCCATATTTGTGAAACAGGTCATTTATTTCACCGCACTTTGTTCCAAGCAGATATTATATGATTCTGCAGCTGTTGCCCTCCAAGACACTACAATAATACAATACAATAAAATACCATACATAATATACAAGACCCCCCCCCATCGAATGGCATGATCCGATGAACAACTGTGTTACCTACATCATACATGTACGTTGTTCTCGAACAATCATCACTACCAGGAGTTACCATGGACACTACTCCATTGTTCACGAACGAACACGGTATCTGTACACGTACAGTCAGCTGTGCCTTAACTTACCGAGGTTTGAGTGAGATTTCTAGTCGATTTGAAGACAAATCTGAATCAAAATGGGTACGTCGGAATCTAAGCCGAAGAAATTGGGGTGCGCATGCTTGCTGACCCCTCTGAGGAAGCTGAGGAGGAAGAATAATATAGTCTCTAACTTTGGGAAGGTGGAAACTCCGGTGGCGACACCTTCCACTCCCAAGCCGGGACTTTTCGCTCGTCTGAAGAGATCGACACTGCCACCCGGTGATATTTTTTTCTTTCTCCGGGACAAGTCAGAAAACGTTACACAATCTTCCATCCCAGTAGTAACAGTTACACGTGCTTAGATATTTGCGCTTAGTGCGTTTTCTAACTCTTCGCTTCGAGTGTTTCTCGGTACATTCACAGTGTATTTATTTGACTAACCACCTGTTATGTATCGTTCTACAGGCGTCATTCTGGTAGAGTCCGCCAATGCGCCCAGGCCCAGGCCTGCATTTAAAATCACTTGGTCATCAGAGGAGGATATCTCAGAGCTTGACAGCGAGATCTCAGAGTACGGGTACGAGCCAGATCGGATCTCCGAGTCAGAGGGGGAGCAGAGTGGCTCCGAGTCAGAGCGGGATCAGATCTCAAGATCCGAGCAGGATCAGATCTCAAGATCCGAGCAGGATCAGATCTCAGGATCCGCCGAGCAGGATAAGATCTCAGGATCTGCCGAGCCAGATCAGATCTCAGGATCAGATCAGGCTGAGGAGATCTCACAGCCTGACGAGATGTCGGGATCAGAGGTTGAGCCTGATCATGACGCCGACGAGGAGCCAGAAGTAGGGCCAGAGGCAGAAACCGCCGCTAACATCACAGAATATGAGGCGAGGCGATCATACTGGTACAAGTACCAGTACCGCTCACAGGCAGTGGATGCGAGCTCAGATTCTTCTTCAGAGGATGAGCGGCCCATCGCTAAGCTTCTGACCGAGGTCCTGGCATCACAGGAGGCATCACAGGAAGCCTCAGAGGAGGCATCAGATGCAGAGGAGGCATCAGAGGCAAACACCAAGCGCAAGGTGTTCAGCCGGCATCACCGCGTTGCCCCGGCACCCCAGCAGGCCGCCACCCCGGAGGGCGCCGCGGAGCTCCCCGCCGACGTTTCGGTCCCTTCCACCGCCGAGGAGCAGGAGCAGACCCGGGAGCGTCAGGGGGTCCGGAGGATCCAGGTCGCAGAGGCAGGAGATGGTCTTCCTCCTGTGGCCTAGGGTTCAGCGCGGAGGATGTGGGGAT